GCCCCCAGGAAAGCTTGCCAGGCCCGGGGAGGGGGTCCTGCCACTTCTGTTTGCTTTGGGGAGTGGAGAACACCATGGGGTTTAAGAATCAGAAAGATCTGGAGTTCGGGTGGTGACGGGAAGGTGAAGAGGTAAAGGTCACAAGGTCAGAGGCCACTGTGAGGAACCAAGCCCACGGAGGTGAATAAGCATGTGGACAAAGCCCTGACCGGGGCCTGGGGAGCGGGCCCATGAGCCCAGGGCTCATGTTGTCGTCCGCACCCTCTTGTGAGGACAGAGCAGCAAACCGCCACCTGTTTGTCCCCACCAGGCACTGAGGGGAAGCTGCTCCCGTGGTCTGGGGCTCGTGAATGGAAGAGCGGATCCAGAGGGGGTCCGACTGCTTCTTGCCCTGTGCCTGGCGCCCAGAACGCAGCAGGGTGGTCCTGAAGGATGAGTGGGTGAGTCAGCGAGTGAGGGAATGAATGAATGAGTGAATGAATGAATGGAAGGGGTGTTCTCCTGTCTCTGTGAGCCAACGTTCTCCGGCAAGAGTCTCGTGGAACCAGCCACCCGTTCCTCCACAGGCAGCTCCGGGTGGGGAACGTTCACTTTTCCCAAAATAAAAGGGTGCGGGGACCGGAAGTGTGGCTCTTTGGGCTCCACCCTGGCGGCTCTGGGCGGGAAGCCAGCAGCCGGGCTCGTTTCCAGCCCGGCCGAGCTCCTGGTGGACTAAGTCTGGAGCACCACCAGCCTTATTTAGCTGGGGGGGTTGCTCCACGCCTGGCCACTCCTGCGGGTGGCTGCCTGTCCGTGGTGAGCCAGGACAATCTTCCTGGGAGGCCCAGACGGGCAGGGTGTGGGCTGGGCTGGGCTTCTCCCCACGCCCCGAGCTGGGCCACTGTCCGGGCCTGATGCACCCTGGGAGTTAGAACGGCTTGCAGGGCAGGCCAGCTCCGTCCACCTGCAGACTGCCCTCTCCCACCTTCTGCTGTGAGGCCCCGCCCACCACCAAACCCCTCTGCGCCCGTCCCTCCTTACCTGTCAGAAATGGGGAACTACCTCCTCTAACCACAGTTCCAGATTCCCATGAGGCCAGGCCAGGAGGCGCGTCCTCGGCGCGTGTGAAAAACCGCAGCCTTCCAAAACACACCCGCGTTCTGCCGAAGCGGTATTTCTCCCCTTGTAACTCAGCCCTTTAAAGTTCAAGTACGACGCTGAGTAATCTAGCGCTGTTCTGTTTTCTCATTTTCTGATAAACAAGCACGATCACTAGGTCTCTAATGAAATGAGCCACACGTTTAGTCCTGTCCTTGTCCTGCTTAAAATCTGCTGCCGCTGTTTTGTCTAGGAGATAAATCCAGGCCCTCCCTTTCCTCGCAGGCCACAAACAGTCCCCTAAACCCACTGGGCCCTGGCCCCACTTCTCTGCTTCCTGCCTCTGGAACCAGCCCCCCACTTTCATGCCTCCTGGCCCTTCACCTGCTGTTTGCTGTGCTGGAGCTGCCCGCCGTCTGGTGAACTCCTACGCATCCTGGGAAACCCAACTGAAAAGGCCCCTTCTCGGCAGCACGTTAGGTGCCCTGGAAATCGCACGGGCCTTGGAGCCGGAGGCGCGTGACTTCAGCTCTCAGCACGCCGGTTTCTCCACCTGTCATTGCCTGGAGCTCCGGAATGTCAGGTACCACACGGCATTCATCCCCAGTCCTCTCCCTCCTCCCCATGCCTAAGGCAGTCACTGTCCCAGAAAAGTAATACGTCAGCAACCAGCTTCCTGGTGCTTCAAGTTCTGCACTTCGTCCCCACCACGGCCCTGGGGGAAGGCGGGGCTCCCCCATTTTACTCACAGGAAATGCAGGGCGGGGCTTCCACACCAGCAGGCAGGGCCACGTCCCCCACATGGGACCCAGCACTGGGTGTGGTGGTAAGGGCCTGGCTGTGGGGACTCAGTGGGTGTCAGAGGCAGCCTGAGGTCACCCCCCCGGAGGCTGTGAGTGCCAGGCTCGCCTTCCCTGAGCCCAGGCTGGGAGAAAGAGAGGTGAATCAGGCCCCATTGGTCTTACAAATTGGGTGACAGAACCTCTCAGATTAACCAGAAGACAAAGCGAAACCCCAAAACCCAGATCCACCACTCACGTCATCCCTAGCCTGGGGCAAAGCCAACTGGAAAGACAGGGCTCAGCCCTGGGCATTCTGCTCAGAGGCCCCAGAGGCCACAGTGGCGCCTCTGTCTGGGAGAGGTGCCCGCCCTGCTCCCGGAGCTTCGAGGTTGGCCAGCTGGCCTGGGAGTTGTCCTCTCGGCCCCAAGCCCCACTCGACCACTAGGAGGGAGACTCGGGCGCCGGTGAACCCCTCCTGCCCGTGGCCCCAGGTTCCCCATCCCCATCACTCAGCCCGTCCTGAGGCTGGGCAGGCCAGGCTGGCGCCTGGGGCAGTTCATCCGCTTCACAGCGGTCGAGGGAGCAGTCAGTCAGCCCCGGGCAGTGCGGGGGGCAGTTTCGGGGCTCCACGCACGGCCAGGTCAGACTGTTTGGGGCTGGGCCTCAGCCTCCTGCAGTTTGAACACATCTCCAAAGGGTCTTCCTTGGGGGCAGGAGCTCCTGCTCTCTGCTCCCTGGCCAGCTCTCTCTCCAGCCCTGTGGACGCCCCTCCGTGCCCGCTGGACCCCTCCCGTTCAGTGTCACCAGAACCAAGCATCCCTTTATGGGCTGTTGCCACTGTCCACACCAGCCACTAGGCCCCCTTCCCAGGACACCATCACCTCCCTGGAAACCCCGCGCCCGTCCCTTCTCTCTCCCCCTGTTGTGCATGCCTGGCCCTACACCCCGGGGCCCATTCCTGCTCTTCCCTCTCCCACCAGCGCCTACTATCCCACCCATCCCAGGCCCCCCCCCCGCCCCCGGGCCCATTCCGGTCGGCTCCTTCTCTGGTTTCCACTCTCCCTCCTCCAGGCCCCCTGAAGCCAGAGCAGCTCCTGGAAGATGCAAATCTGATCATACTGCCTCCCACCCGTGTCTCTTCAGGGCCTTCCCCTTGCATCTGGGACAAAAGCAAACTCGTAGCAGGTTCTAGTTCAAAAGCACAGGCCCACAACTAAGCAAAGGTTGGCGTGGTCAGCGCCGCCACAAAGCGGGCTGTGAAAGGGCGGCAGACTGCTCGCTCGTGGGGGCCACCTTCTAGGGAGCTGCTCCGGGGAGCCGAGGCTGGCCCTGCCACCAGCCACCAGCAGCCCGGGCGATGGTGTCCCCGGAAGTCCTGCCTGGGCCCTGGGCAGGGTGGGTGCCTCTGCCCTGGGCAGCGAGGGTGGGCTCTGGGCAAGAATGTCTTAGGCGCCTGTCACGCGATCTCTGGAGAGCAAGTCGGCAGCAGAGCGAGTCGCTTTGGCCACTTGGTGATGTTGGTCTCTGGCCTCTCCTGTCGGCCACACATGTCCCTGTGATGCTGGAGCGGCCCCAGGAACAAAAGAGGTTGACGCGTCCTCACTTGTGTACTGATGCTCTCCCGTGAGCAAGTCCCAGGGTCCTCATGGCACCCCAGGAGGGGTGTGCCGGGACGGTCCATTTTGCAGGCAAGTTCACTTGCCTGGTATCACGTAGCTGCTAAGCAGCAGAGCTGGGCGTCGAACCTGGGTGGTTTGCTCTGGAGCCAGCCATCCCTCAGGGCTGCAGCTCTCTGGGTGTCCATTAGGTCTGCCTCATTTGCTGATGTCCATTGTGTCCACAGGGCCCCCCCGCCTCTTGTTGGCTACTGGAGGTCTGGTCTGTGCCGAGAAAGGCGAGTCAGGCTCCTGGTCTCACTGACCCATGCACACGGATTCCTTTCTTCTCTTCCCACAGCCTTTGGGGCTTGGTCGGGGCTGCGCACGCCAGTGCTGGGGCTGGGTGACCGAGGAGTCTCCTTATACACAGGTTGACAGGGCCTGTGGGCCCGGCCTGGGTCACGGGCTTCTCAGTGCGAGGCGTAGGGCTGGTCCCCCAGGGGCTCCCCAGGGCCCATGAAGTTCTCTGGGAACACACACCTGAGAGCTGCTTGCACCCAGCAAGCCGTTAACGGTACCCAGGCAGGTCGTGCAACATAGGCCGGCATGCGGGAGTAATTAAAGTGGTTACATTGAGTGACCTCTGCAGCGTACCAGTCACTCACCGCACCTCATCTCAGCAACCTGGGGGGGGGGTTCTTACCAGGTGACAAAGGAGGTTGGGGAGGCGGAGGTCCAGTGTGGGGTCACCCAGACAGAGGTAGGTGAAGTGGGCAGTCCCAGGCTGAGCCCTATGCTAACAGTCCACTGAATGAATGTAAGGATGGATGGATGGACGGATGGGTGAATGATGGATGGGTGGACGGAGCATACAGCTCCGATACCCGAGCAGAGGTGTGTATTCTTGTGTGCGTGGCATCTACCTTGCCTGGGAGAGGGCACCTTCCTGGGTCCCTGGCTGGACCACTACACGGTGTGAAGGGCAGATTCTGGGTCTTGGCCACCACGGGGAGTGCTGGCTGGGGCACTGGCCTGCCCATACCCACCCAGGAACTCTTACAGCCTGACCAGCCCCAGGCCCAGCAAAAGCAAAGCGCACTGGGGACTCCTAGCCCCGTGGATGACACGTTTTGCCCCCGACCCCCACCTGGGATGCCCGGGCCTGGCCCTTTACCGCTGTCATTTTACTTATTCGCCTGCACATCTGCTGGGCGGAGCTGGAAGCAGCAGCGAGAAGCAGCTGTAGGCCGCGGGGCCCAGGCCTGAGCCTGGTGGGATGGGACCGGGCAAGCTGCCGTCAGACTTCGGGTGGGAGAGGGGACCACAGCTGGGGCAGGCAGCCAGTGTCGCTCCTGGGCATAGTGACGCCGCCAGCTGGGGTTGGTCCCGAGGGGCCGAGACCCTGACTCCGCCGGCAGGGAGGAATTCCCTGATGCCGCTGCCTCAGTGCCTTTGGACTGATGCTTGGCTGATGCTTGTAACCCTCACGAACTACAAAATGTCAGGACAACTGCCAGTTAGAGAGAGATGCCTACAAAATGAATACAATTTATTTATTTTAAAAGACTTCATTTATTTAGAGAGGAAGAGAGGGAATCATCCATGTGTGGTTGCCTCTCATGGGCCCCCAACAGGGGACCTGGCCCGCAACCCAGGCACGTGCCCTGACCAGGAACCGAACAGGTGACCTTTCCACTCACAGGCCAGGGCTCAATCCATGTTTGAAGAGTCACAGCACCTTCTCCACACAATGCACAAAGCTCTTCTTGTGCTTCAGTTGTGTCTTTATCCTTCTTGAAATAATAAAGCATAAAATAATTAAACTGTTCAGTATTCTTCCATTTTCAATATTAAAACGGCTACACGAAAAATCACCAGTTTTGTGAAGTTTCACACTGGTAATGACAAAGACAATATTTAGGAATCTAAGGCATTTCTGTGCACCAACAACAAAACGGCAGAAACAGAAATTAGGAAAAAATCCCATTTGTGGTAGCAACAAGAAAAATAAAGTATCTGGAATAAACCTAACCAAGGAGGTAAAAGACCAGAACTCGGGAAACCACACAACACCACGGACAGACGTTAAGGAAGGACACACATGAATGGGAGCATACAGTGTGTTCATGGGTCACAAGAATTAACATCATCAAAATGTCCACATGACCGAAAGCAATTTATAGATTCAATGCAATCCCTATTAAAACACCAATGATATATTCCACAGATATAGAGCAAACACTTAAAAATGTGCATGGGACCATAAACGACTCGGAACAGCCCCAGCAACTCTAAGAGGCACAAAGTAGGAGGGATCTCAACACCAGATACCAAACTGGATTACAAGGCTGCTGTAGTCAAAACAGCCTGGCACCAGCATAAAAAGACATATGGGCCAATGGAACGGAACAGAGAGCCCAGAAACAAACCCACGTCTCTGTGGTCAGTGAATGTTGGACAAAGAGGGCATGGACATTCAATAGAGGAAAACTATCATCTTCAACAAATGGTGTTGGGAGAGCTGGACAGCTACATGCAAATGAGTGAAACTTGACCACCAACCTACACCACACACCAGAATAAACTCAACGGGTAAAAGGCTTCAGTGTAAGCCACGACACAATAAAAGTCCTGGAGAACCTAAGAAAATCTCAGGGATTCCACACAGCAGTACTGTCGTGACACGTGCAGGCTGATGAGAGGTCAAGTACAAGATCGTCCTGAACTGAGTTGGAGATGGCAGAGCCCCATGCAAGCATCTTGCAGAGAAAACAGACCTTTTGGCCGAGCCAATCGGATGTGACCCTTCTGCCACGTTTGAATGTCACTGAGCTTGCCCGTGACACTGCAACCACCACCAACCCCTCAGCTGGTGCCCCACCCATGGTAAGGGAGTTTGGTAGTACAAAGCTGTCCCCTCATGCCTACACTGTCATCAGGCAGCTTTGGGACACTGGGAGGCCTTGTGCCCACCTGGTACTGGGGTGATGCAAAGGGTCCATGGTGGTTTTCTGGTCAGGGGAGCTCTGGCCACAGTCACGTGGCTCCTTCTGTGAGGGGGGACCCCACAGAACTGGTCCGCATTCCTTGGTGATGTGGTGGGTAAACATGTGACTTTAAAAAATATATATTTTTTAGAGAGGGAAGTGAGGGAAACAACAACGTTCCCCTCATACTGCTAACCAGGGACTTGGCCCACAACCCAGACGAGTGCCCTGACTGGGAACCAAACACACGACCCCTCGGTTCGCACGCCGGTGCTCAGTCCACTGAGCCGCACCAGCCTGGTCACGTGCGGCTCTCGCCAGTGTCTTCACCAAGTTGGACTAAATACTGAGGAATTCTTTGACAAAACAGATTTCAATGGCCAGTGCTCCCCACGCCGGGCAAGTCCTGCCCTTGTGCCTGCCCACGGAGGGACATAGCATTACCTTGGGAACGCATGTGGCCCCACCATGCCTGCCTGGTCCCAGCAGGATGCACGGCAATGCTTGTGGTTGGAAGCAGTCAGCACCATGGCCTTTGACAGTGGGTCATGGAACAAAGTGGTTCAGTTAGAAGTAGTCAGCACCATGGCTTTCAACAGTGGTCATGGAACAAAGTGGTGCTAAGGACAGTCAGGGGTCTGCAGGCTGGGCCAGAGGGGTGGGAAGGGCAGAGCCTTCGCTGCCGAGAGGCGGTGAAGCTCACTGCAGGGGAGGAGGGCTGTGGCTGGGATGAACCAATTCACAGGGACCACAAGTCCTGTGGAGAACACGCTGAGTGAGGGCCCTGCGCCCACCTGGACAGGCTTTTCTGGGCACATTACATTGAGGCTGGTTCTCGTTTACTAGGCACAGGTTCACTTGAGGTGGTTCCCTTTTACAGGTAACAAAGGAGAGAATGCTGCTAAGTGCTTCAAACAAAAAGGGTGTTTGCTAATGCAAAGAGAAAGGTGGCTGAACTTGCTCCACTCCCTACTTGGGAGGTTTAGCACATATTTTAGGAAGTTTAAGACACAAAGCATCTGCTGCCTCAATCCAGGGTGAGGGAATTTAAGGAAGCCTCAAAGCAGCCCAGGTTCGATGCAGGCCTGACTCCCCCCGGGAGAACCAGTCCCTGGGCTGGGTTCCTGTGTGGCCACTTGTTCCCTGCCGGTTTTCTGAATCAGGGGCTGCGCGACATTCGCCAGGCCATGGGGACAGGTTCCCTGCAGGAACTTGCCGGCGAGGTAGTTGTGCCCGGGACAGCTGGTCCCTGCAGGAGGCAGCCCCGGTCTGCATCTTGCACCAAGGGGCAGATAGCAGCCTTGGGAACAAACTGGGCAGAGGTGGGGTGGGGGGCGTAGACTGGGGTCTGTGGCAGGCACCGCATCTGCCCTCCAGGGCCTGCAGCTCAGGCCCTGGAACCTGGGACTACGCTCTCATGCAGCAAAAGGCCTTGCAGTGAGCCATACAGATTCAGGCACCTCAGGAAAAAGGGGCCAAACCAGGGGCCTGTGGTTGGGCACCCAGAGAGGGGGTGTGCAGGGGTGGCCGAGAGAGTGGACCCAGACTGTTTCATGCAGAAGGGTCAAGAGAAGTGCCCCACGTCCCCAGGTGGAGCGTGGCTGAATAGGCACACTAGGGGTGTGGCAACCTGTGACCTCAGCAGTGTCGGTGGGGGAAGAGGACCGAGGCCAGGGAGTGGGTGGCTGTGAGGCTATGGCACCTGCGGGGAGGCAGGCAGAGGGCAAGGGAGCTGACCCTGTGCGCCAGGGACTGCTCAGCCTGATGCTCCTTGATCAGAACCACAAACATCATAGCTCTGATTGGACATCAGTCACACCTGTCAGGAGAGACGACACTCGGGACGCGCCACCTTGGAGCAGTCTCCACGTCCCTGGCAGGGAGGTGATCCGCACTGCAGGTCGGTTTAGACCTGAGACCAGAAGTGACAGACACCTGGGTCCACAAGGCACAACGGCCTTCGGACAGGCCTCCGGGTGAAACGCCGTGGCTTGTTTCTAAAGTACCTGAGAAGCAAGGCGCCTCAGGTGTGGCGGCACTTAGTGTTTCTGGAAGTTTCCTGTGTATGGGCAGGCACCCAAAAGCAAGGCCAGGACTCAACCTGGGTCCGGCTCGGAGGCCCGCCCGCCTTTGGGGACATGCCAGAGCGCACAATGGGCTGGCGAACACAGAAAGGACAGCGAGCTTGTCACCAGGACACATCGCCTGAGCCCACCTGTGCCTTTCCTGTGTGCTGCGTGTTTTCCTGTGCTTTTCCTTCCCTCCCAGAGCCTGAGTCGCTGTGCCTGCCCTGTTCAGATGGGCCTCCCGGCCCGGCCCAGGAGCAGTCACAGGGAAGCCCCCGGCCACGGGTGGGGGCTGGTGGAGTAAGTGCAGGTTTCCATCCAGCCTGGAGGCCCTGGAGCACAGGCAGGAGGCACGCTCTCGCTCACCACCTCCTGGATCTTGCAGCTCAAGATCCAAGCTTTGTTCACGTGGGATTAGGTCACATGGTGGGTGAAGGAGGCTGCTCTGGGGGGCCCAGGGGTAGCAGTGCCCACCCGGGGCAGGCCCGACGTTATGTCACACGTGGCACTGGGTGACAGGCTACCAGAGCAGGCTGGCAGCCGCCATGTGCCATCAAAGCCTCTATCGGAGCGCCTGGTCGACCTTGTGGGGAGGAACCAGAGCCCAGCCTGTGCAGAGGCCCCTGTCCCTGGAGAAGGGCAGTGGGGTCAGGAGGAGGCTCCCGAGGCAGACGCATCTGAGTCCCACGCCATGAGGGACACAGTGCCACCACCGCTCTCGCTCTGGAGCTGGAGGCTCCGGGCCCGCTGATCCTCCTCCACAAGATCCGCCAAGAGGTTCAGGCGGCAGGCCCTGAGCGCCTGCACCAGGTGGGACACGGAGGCGTGTTCCCGCGCCGCCTTCTTCCAGACTCTCAGCGACTCCCGCACCTGCTCCGTCAGGTTCCGGGGGTACTTCACCTCGATGGCGTCGATCTTGGAGTCAGACACTCTCAGCTGGCGCGCCAGTCTTCTCCAGTCCTTGCCCACGTGGTCGCATATGATGTCAAAGGCCGCCTGAAAGTCTAGGGAGAGAAAGAACAACGTGTTCCGCCAGGGGCTTGGGCGGCCCCCCAGGAGACAGACGACCCAAGCGCTGGGCCACAAGAGGTCCTCTTGGGAAGACTGAAGCCACCCAGGAGCAGAGAGGCTGGGAGGTCACAGAGGCCCAACAGTGGCTTCTAATCACACCCTAGCCAACCCCACCCCAAAACACCACCCAAGAGGTGGGGCCCGCTGACACCTGAGGGCTGGGGCAGGCTGCAGTGGAACTACCTGCTTAGGACAGGAAACTGAGGGAGGAGTGACCGGGAGGAAGGAAACGGGCTGCTCCCCTACCCTGAACCATGGCTCCGAAAGGACAAGTCTACGTACGTCCCGTCCCTGGAGCCATGTGCCGCATTACAGAGGCCTTTGCCGACATAAGTTGAGGATCTTGAGAACAGACCACTCTGGGTTATGCAGGTGGGACCTATCCAGCGGCACGTGTCCCTGTAGGACATACACTGAAGCCATGTGATGACAGAGGCAGAGACTGAAGTGATGAGGCCACAGCCAGGATGCCTGGAGCCCCAGAAGCTGGACAAGGCAGGAAGGATGCCACCTCACCCTGCCCCCACCCTTCACAGGGAGCGTGGGTGGCCCTGCGACCCCGGTTTCTGACTCTGGCCCCAACCAGTTGTGAGGGCACCCACATCTCTGGTTTTAAGCCACCAAGTGTGCGGTGACTTGCACAGCAGTCCCGGGAAACTGACATGCGCCCCAATGCTCATTTGGGAAGCTCCCCTGACCTGACCACCGGTGTTCAGCCCCGGGGCTCCACGTCCTCACCTGCTGAAGTCACTCTGAGATTGGCAAGCTGGGGATGACAGACCACGACAGGCTGCCTCTGGAACCAGGGGGCGTGCGGGGGCGGCGGAGACAATGCTGGGAGGGCTCCTGCCAATCTGCACCTTCGGCTACAGGCCACCGAGGCGCTGTGGGCTGTGCACCCACCCGAGCCCCGACGGCCCTGAGAGGTGGTCATTTGTGTTGCTACGACCATTTGTACAGATGAGGAAACTGAGCAGAGAGAGGGCCAGTGATTCCCCTGAGGACACACAGCCAGACAATGGCAGAGCCAGGGTGCAAAACCCTGGCAGTCTGGGGCGCCAGCCCACTCTGAATCTTTCATTATGCTAAATCGCCTTCTGGAAGAGTAGTAACAAAGCACCCCCATGACCCTCCCATTAACCTTCGCCTGCGCTCCCCCCGACACACGGCATCTACACAAACAGAACCCAGCCACACACACAAACCCCCGAACTGCTCCCCGTGTTGTGCACACCCCTTCTCAGTGCACCAGGCGAGCACCCCCCCCCCCCACTGAACAGCCTCGAAAACACGCGTCCTGTGTTCACTCCGGTTTGTCCGCTCTCAGGCAGAGCTGTGCCTTCAGCTTGCCACCAATAAGTGCCAGGTCTTGCGGAGTGACACCATGGCGTCACACTCATGTCCTTTTTGGGTTCAGTGACCAGACGACCAATTCCAGGCCACAGCCTGAAGACTGTAAAGTGTGTCCCCAAAGCACCTCCTACCCTCCCACTCCCAGACTCTGAGAACATGGCTGGTGATCGAGGGACCCTGCCAAACTCAGGTCTCACTTTTACCCCGGAAGCTGCTGCAAGCCCCAGGTGCAGGTGGCAGGTGCAGTGCGCGCGAGGTGCCGCTGAGGGAAGCCACTACAGGACGGACTTGACCAGAGACAAAACAGAAAGAGAAGGACACTTCATAATACTGAAGGGGAGAATCCATCAAGAAAACATGAATATTGTAAACATACATGCACCCAACACAGGAGCACCCACACATATAAGGAAAATCTTGGGAGAGAGTGACACACTTACACCAGGGGGTTTTAACACCCCGCTGTCAACCACGGGCAGATCCGCTAACAAAATATCAGCAAGGATGCTGTGGACTGAACGTTGTGTGAGGTCAGATGGACGTAACAGATCTACAGAGAACCTTTCACTCCAAAGAAGCAAAATAAATTCTTTTCAGATACACGTGAAATATTTTCAAAGATAGACCACATGATGTAGGACACAAAAGAAGCCTCAACAAATTCAAGAAACTGAAATCATATCAAGCATTTTCTCAGGCCACAAGGGCTTAAAACTAGAGACCAACCTCAGGAAGAAAATTAAGAAATATTCAGACTCATGGAGACAGAACAGCCTGCTATTAGACAACGAATGGGTTAATAGTGAGATCAAGGAAGAAATCCAGAAGTTTCTGGAAACAAATGAAAATGAACTCACAGGACTTCCGCCAAGATGGAGATATAGGTGGAGACACTGTGCTTTCTTACACAACCAACTTTAGAGACAACAAAATATTAGCAACAGAAAACACAGCCACAACACAGAAAATTGAACTTTTCGGAAGTCTGATAACAACGAATTCTTCAGCCTGACTGGTTAAGAGGGGCGAAGCCAGCAGCTGGCAGAGCATGGATGCACAGGAAAACGGTCAGACGGACTCAGGTGCGCGGATTCCAGGCGTGGGGTTGCAACAGGCGGACCCAGTGAGCAACTGACAGACCCAGCAAGGGCGCAGGGTGGTGAGAGGAGACTGACTGAGCAGGCCCCAGTGGCCAGAGGCAGCAGAGGGGGCCACTACTTCCCCGCCCCCACGTACAGCTTCACAACTCAGCAACCTCAGTGGCCCCGCCCTGGTGAACACCTAAGGCCTCGCTCCTCATACATAACAGGTGCAAACAGACCAAAAATGGCTCGAGAAGATCTCAAAGCCCCAGAGCCCATAACTCTTAAGTGACAAAGAAATAGCAAAACTTTCAGATACAGTTCAAAACACTGGTGATAAGGATGCTCACAGAACTGGTTGATTTTAGTCAGAAATTAGAGGAACACACGAAAATGAAACTAATTGAAATGAAGGGAATTGCACAGGAAACCAATAGTGATGAAAAGGAAACTGGGACTCAAATCAAGGGAGTGAACCAGAAGGAAGAAAAAAATGGCCAAACAGGAAAATATGAAGAAACAAGAATTCATAAAAATGAAGAGACTTAGGAACCTCCAGGACATCTTTAAACGCTCCAACATCTGAGTTATAGGGGTACCAGAAGGGGAAGAGGAACAGTCACGAGCGGAAACCTTATTTGAACAAATAAAAAAAGAGAACTGCCCCATTCTGGCAAAGGAAATAGACTTCCAGGAAATCCAGGAAGCTCAGAGAGTCCCAAAGAAGTTGGCTCAAGGAGAAACACACCAAGGCACATCATCATCACATTAGCCAAGATTAAAATGAAGGAGAGAATCCTAGAAGCAGTAAGAGCTAAGGGAACAGTCACCTACAAAGGAGTCCCCATCAGACTGTCAGCAGATTTCTCAAAAGAGACCTTACAGGCAAGAAGGGGCTGGAAAGAGGTATTCCAAGTCATGAAATCCAAAGACCTACAACCAAGATTACTCTATCCAGCAAAGCTTTCATTTAGAATGGAAGGACAGATAAAGTGCTTCTCAGATAAGATCAAATTCAAAGAGTTCATCATCACCAAGCCCTTATTATATGAAATGTTAAAGGGACTTATCTAAGAAAAAGAAGACAAAAAATATGAACATTGAAAGGACAGCAAACTCACAGTTATTAACAACCACACCTAAAACAAAAGCAAACTAAGAGGACAGCTAGATCAGGAGCGGAAACACAGAAATGAAGATCTCATGGAGGGTTAGCAACAGGGGAGTGGGAGGAGGAGAAGGGGGGAGAAGGTACAGAAAATAAGTAGCATAGACAGTAGGTAGAAAATAGTTGGGGGGGGCAAGAATAGTATGGGAAATATAGAATCTAAAGAACTTGAGACACATGGTCATAAACTAAAAGGGGGAATGGTGGGGGTGGGACAGTGGAGGAGAATGAAGGGGGGGAATAGAACAACTGTAATGGCATAATCAATAAAATTTTTAAAAACTAAAAAAAAAACAAAACAAAACAAACAAACAAAAGAAATAAAGAAAATAAACTCACAACAGTCCCAAACCTTGGGGACACAGCGAAGGCAGTCCTGAGAGAGAAGTTCACAGTGATACAGGCCTACCTAAAAAAAGACAGAAACATTTCAAATAAGCAGCCAACCCTACAGGGACAAGAATTGGAGAAGCAACAACGAAGACAGCCCAGAGCAAGGAGAAGAAAGGAAATAACCAAGATCGGAGCTGAAGTAAGTGTCCTGGAGACTAAAAGGACAGTCTAAGGATCAATGAATCCAGGAGCTGGTTCTCTGAAAAGATAAACAAAATTGACAAGCCTTTAATCAGATTTAAAAAAGAAAGAAAGAAAAAACCAAAACGGACTTGATCAGAGGGACAGTGTCCTGGCTAATATCACCCACTCGAGGCCATATTGCCTTGGCTTCGACCCTCGTGATCCGTTAGTGATCGGCTATGCAAGCCGGTAAACATCCCTTTCAGCCAGTCCCCTCGCCTGTAAAAAAGGAACAACGATAAAAGATAGTATGTAACGAACGAAGTTAAGGCGAAAACCAAGTAGGCACCGCGCTTTAAAACAGGAACGGCAGGCCGTAGGCCCGTTATTCACTATCATCGTTAATCTCCGAGGGCGGCGTCGGCGAATAGGGAGAACGCCGGGGCCGTCAGCAGCACCGGGTCACGCCATTCTTCTCCACCCAGACATTAGCAGCGCATTCCTCTTCCGAGTATTTTCTAATTTACTTAGACAGAGTGAGTAGTGGAGAAAATACCGGATCTGGGACTTAGCGTGAGCTCACTGTTCCGAGGTTTGATTCTCTCACGGGTCACCGGGGTTGTAGAAAACAAACGCAAACTCAAATTTGGCGAAGGCTCGGTGCCTGGCAGACTTCCAAACGCGCGCGACCGCTGGGCAAACTGGCTCCGCCTCCCCCGGCTCCCGTCCTGGCCTGTGTCCCGCCCCCCCCCCCCCCGTCCCTGCCTCCCGCACAGCCCCAGTCCCCCGTCCCACCTTGCTGCTCTTCCGGCCCCGCTCTGCCCTCCTCGAAGTCGTCTAGGAGCCGCAGCAGGTCCTGGCGCCGCAGGGAGGCCAGCAGCTCGCGCAGCAACTCGGGGTGCTCGCGGTCCAGCTCGTTCTGTTCGAGCAGAAAGGAGAAGAGATCGACGCCGCTCTGCACGCGCTCCAGCTTTCTCTTGCCCAGGCGACCCTGGCACAGGAACTTGAGGTCGCTCAGCTCGCTGCTCGACAGGCGGGTGGACACCGAGTGCAGCAGCACCAGGAACGGGTCCATGGCAGCGGGCGACGGCAGACAGCGGGCGGGAGCTAACCCGGCCTTGGGTGACCTCCTTGGCCTCAGCCCACCACGCGTAGCCCGTCGCCCGCTCCTTGATCTGGGGACCCGGGACCGCCCGGGTTCCCTCCTCACAAATCCTTCCTACTCCACCACCGGAAGTCACGCAAGGCCACCGGAAGTCACGCTCCGCACCTCGCGAGAATTACGGGGCTTGCGCATGCGCCCGGAGCCAGATCGTAGCTATTTCCGCCTGTGTGGCGCAGATTCGCCGTCGGGGGCGCCGCAGACAGGCTCCGACGCGGGGCTGGGCGGCCTATGCGCCTGCGTCCTTCGGACTCTTCCCCAGCCGACTAGAACGTGGAGGCCTCGAGAGCGCCGGCGCGGGCTGGTTGGGCGGGTCTGCGTTTTCCGGGAAATGCAGCAGTAAAGATGCTGATAATACAGGCTTTCGTTTGTGAACATTTGCGATGATTCACGTCCTTTAATGCCCCCTGGACACGTGGTCGGAAAAGATGACTCAGAGGTTTATTTAGGTGTTGAAGTTTAATTGATAATTAATTTTTAAAGTAGTTACTGATGCTTTTTAGCGTTTATTGAGCGCTTACTGAGTGCCAGACAGTAGGTGCTGGGGTCAAATTCGGGAAGTCCCCGCCCGCCAGAGCTTAGTCATCAGTACACAAGCTTCCGGAACAGATAAGGTGCAGTGTGCCGGAAGTCAGCACAGCCAGAGCCCAGAGGGGAGGGGAGGGGTGGGATGGGCAGGTTGGGTGCCGGGGGGTGTGGGGAGGGGGGCACGTTAAGTAGGTGTGAGCGGAAGCGTGTGTGCTGGGCAGGGCACGGCCAGAGCAGGGTCGAGGTTCCAGGAGCAGCAGGCGGAGGCTGGGACAGATTAGGAGGGGCCTCAATTGCCAGGGTGGAGCCCCTGCAGAGGGGCAAAGGCATCTGAGTTACCTTTATATAGATGTATGCTTTTTTAAATTGAGAGGTAACTTATTCTCCATATAACTTGCCCTTTTAAAGTGTACAATTGTTTTTTAGTATATTGCTAAGGTTGTCCAACCCTCACCATTAGCTAATTTAAGCACATTTTCATCACCGCAAGTAGGAGCCTGGTACCCATTAGTGGTCACTTCTTTTCCCTGTCCTTCCCCCAGCCCCTGGCAACTGCTGATTTACCTCCTGTCTCTTTGAACTTGACTATCCCGGACAGTTCATATAACTGGGACCATCTACCACGTGGTCTTTTGAGCCTGGTTTCCTCTCATGGAGTAGGATGTCTTCAAGGTTCATCCACGATGTGGCAGGCGTTGGGGCTCCTTGTCATGGGCCAACAGTCTTCCATTGCCCGGATGGTCATCGGTCATCAGCTGATGGGCATTTCGGTCGTTCCCACCTTTTGGCCACTGAGTTTAGTGCTGCCCTGAACCCTGAGGAGCACTGTGAAGGACTCACCCCGCCTCATGAGAGGATCCACAGGACCTCACACTCATCCCGATGAGGGAGGAGGGTGCCTGGACCAAGCGCAGCAGAGGGGATGAGGAGGGTGCGGCCGTCTCTCCATCGGGGGTGGAGATGGGGGTGGAGATGCTGTGTGCACGGGCTGACCGGGGAAGGTGCAGGCGGGTGGGCTGCGGGAGGACCCGTCAGAGATGCTGACTGGACAGGGGGATGCACTGGGCGAGGGTTTGGAGCAGCGACCTGGGCAGAGATGTGCCTTGGGGAGTATTCTGCAGACCGATGGTGCCTGTGATGGTCCATTTTACCTCAGCCTGACTGGGTTGAGGGTTTCCTGAGAGAAGGCGAAACATTTCTGGCTGTGTCTGCGAGAGTGTTTCAGGAAGATTGGTATTTGAACCAGTAGACAGAGTCAAGCAGACGCCCTACCCGCCACCCCCACTATTGCGGGTGTGTGGGCATCATCCAATATGTGGAAGGTCTGTGCAGAACAAAAGGGCGCAGCAGGGCAAATTGCACTCTTGGCTTGAGCTGCCCTCGGGCCCCACGGCAGTCCTGGTTCCTGGTTCCTGGTTCCTGGACTCAGACTGGGACTCACACTGCTTGCCCCCAATTTTCCCACCTGTAGACTCACACCAAGCTGCACCACTGGCTTTCCTGGTTCCCCAGGGAGCTGATGGCAGGGGGAGGGACTTCCTGGCTTCTGTAACCACACCAGCCAATTGGGTTAACAGATCTCCCTGTTTAGGTCTCACTGGTCCTGTCTTTCTGGAAGAATGCAGTGTTGAGTCACTATGGAGGGAGGGCAGAAAGACGAGGGGACCAGGGACTGAGAGCCCTGGGGGTATCCACTCACCTGACTTGTCTGTGGAAATGTCTGTTCAAGTCCTCTGTCCCCTTTTATTTTATTTGGAGGTTTTATTCATTTATGTTTAGAGAGAGGGGAAGGGGGGAGAAACAGAGGGAGAGAAACACTGACATGAGAGAGAAACACTGATGGGTTGCCTCTCGTCTGTGCCCCAACCAGGGGTTGAGCTACAGCCCAGGCCCTGGCACGGACTGGGAATCAAACCCTTGGCCTTTTGGTTTGTGGACGTTGCCCAAACCACTGACCCACTCGGCCAGGGCCCTCTGCCCATTTTTAGTTGGGTTGCTTGTCCTTTTGTTGTTGAGTTGAAGGGGTTCTTTGTGTATCCTGGATGTGAACCCCATGTCAGATATGTGACGTGCAGAAATCCCCTCCCATTTTTCAAGCGGCAGCCCCACTCTCCGGGCTGTGCCCTTTGATGCACAGATGTGTTAGGTTCTGACGGAGGGCAGGGGAGGTATTTTTGCCTCACTTAGCACGTGTCTTTAAAGGGAGACAGGAAAGCCCCGTTTTGCTGGTTTCGTGGCTGCACATTGGCCTTATTTGTGCAGCTGATCCGCAGTTTATTTTCCCATCTTTTTCTCTTTGGGTCGTCTCCACGCTCCCTCTGCTCTTTTGTTTTCCCCTTCCCGTTTGTTCCTCTCCCTGTTTGTTTCCAGTCCCTCTCATTCATAATGGCTGTGGGCTTTGCTTGGGGGTAGTGTTTTTCCTGCAGCAGAAGTCTCCGTGCTGAGGCACTGGGGTATATGGTTGCTAGAATAATGCCCGCCCCCAACCCCCTCCACAATGTCCACATCCAAATCCCCACACCTGGGACTAGGTTAGTTTCCCTGGCAGAAGCAGCTTTTCAGGTGTGATGAGATTAAGGATTTGGAGATGGGGGGTTATTCTGGCCTAGTCACGGCGTGGGAAGGACTCCTCACCATGCCGGCTGGCAGGTTGTGGGAGGGGCCCAGCCCTGCTGGCACCCTGCCTCTCGCCCAGTGAGACCTGTGTCAGACCTTCTCCCCGTCGAACTGGAAGTTGATAACGTGTGTTGTTCTAAGTCACCGCACTGGTGGTAATTTGCCACGTCAGCAAACAGAGAGCCAGCCCCTGCGGACTGGCCAGGGCTTTTCCGGGTGCTTTCCTCCCAGCGTGCTGCTCTCACAGGCAGCCAGCAGAGGGCAGCAACCACCCACGAGCCAAACCGGAGAGGAGCGTTCCAGAGATTGGCAGTGGGGATCAGCTCAGCTGGTGGGGACCCTGGTTGCAGTTGGGGGAAGAGGGGTGACCAGAAGGGAGCACCAGCTGAGGCTCCTGAGGTGCCACGACACTCTGCTTCTGAGTCCTGGCTACACGGCAGTGGTTTCTTGGTTTTTGTTTCTTGGGAGTTGTACGCTTAAGGCATCCAGTTTTCTGTATGTTATACTTCCATAAAGCTGGGAGGGGGGAGAGGGCGGGGATGCGGAGCACAGTGAAGGGGAGCATAAGCTGGGACACAGGGAATAGATAACGGCAGAGCGGGGGGAGCCAGGCCTCAGTTTGGCGAGGCTGCCTTTCTCCCAGGCCCATCCTGCAAGACACAGGCCATCCAGCGAGTGGGGCTGCAATGCCCAAGCTGGGCCAGACCAGGGCCCCTGGGGCTGAGCTCCTCTGCCCAGCGCTGTGGGGGCCGCAGGGGCAGAGGCCCCACGCCTTTCCTTCCACGTGCCCCCTGACCTCCGCCCCAACTCCCTGGCCAGCTCCCACCCAAGGTCCACTTGGCCGAGGCAGAACAGATCGGCTGTCTGTTTGCCTCCTATTCACCCATTCCCTTATCCTTTGGGGACTGAACCCACAGCCTTTTGGTGTTTGGGGTGACGCTCCAGCCAGCGGAGCCAGCGGCTGGGGCCCGTCTGCCCTCCTTGTGGACGTTGTGTGAATGAATGTCCGTGCCGGTCTCTAGATAGTCTTGGCTTAGGTGCTGAGGAGCCTTGTGATGTGGGGCCAGTCACTGCTCTGGCTCTGATCCTGTTTCCTCACCTACCACGGTGGAGGGGCCCACTGAGAGCCCTCAGGCTCCTGGGAGGACCCAGGAGGGGAGAGGGCCCTCCGACGCGGCCCGGTGCTGCCCTCGGGTCAGGACTAAGGACCATGTGAATAAGCACGCAGGGAGCTTGCGGTTTGCTGAGGATTTCTCGGGGCTGTGTGGACACAAGTGGGTGCCTGAGGCCTGCTGCTGGTTGGCCAGGCTCTGGAGGTGGGCCACCCCAGCCACCTGGGCACTCAGGAGGTCGGTGTCCCCAGCTGACAGGGCTGTGCTGCCTGCTGATGTCCCTCATCAAGTGTCCCTTCCTCCAGGAAATGCTGGTGATTCAACTGAGTGGTGGTGTAGAAATGGGTGTCCCCACTTACCCAAATGAGAACGCTGGTGACTCTAGGTTGTCCCCAAAAGTCTTGGGGGAAAGTTTAGGTCCATGAAACCCCAGGACTACTCTGTTGGGTGGGTAGGATCAGGGGTCCAGAGTTGAGGCTTATGGAAGAGGCTGTCCGGGAGGTGTGACGCCCCCCACCCCAACACACGTGGACACACACACGTGTGTGCACAGACACAGGCCCAGGCAAACACGCCAGCAGAGACTCAGAGAGGAAGTGCCAGGAACACTTCACATGTCTGTTACCAAAGGAAGTGGATGTCTGCAGGTCCCTCCTGAATTCGCAGCTCCACCGTGGGGCTTGGGGACACTGGGGACAGCCTCAGGAGCTTCCTGGGGCAAATGCGGAGAGTGTTCAGGGGGGAACGCCTCGCGCACCGATTCATCCGGCGAGATGTCTAGCCACGGCCCTTTGGGTTTGTGCACGTTCACTTAAAAAATGGTTTCCATAAGAGGAGTTTTGGTAATCACCTAATCTTTAATACAATATTCACACACAGAAGCCCCGTTCCGGATGGCTTCCTGCACGAGAGAACAGAGGCATCGGGTCGCAGACTGCGGCAGACCCCGGAACTGGCTTGCGGACTCCACCGGGGCGGCAGCTCGGGGGCGTGTCAGCATCAGGCCGGCAACAGCACGTTCGGGGCCATGGCCGTCTGCCTCCTCCCGCCCGCGCCGAAGCGGGTGCTTCTAAGCCTCCCTGCGCGCCCGAGCCGCTTCCCAGCGGTATTTCAGGTTCGCCTAACGGCTGAGGTTTTCAATCACCCATCTCACCCGCGAGACCTGTTCGCACAAGCTTTTAAAATCATAATTGTCCAACAGTAACATTCCTGTAAGTAAAAATATAGAGAAGAGTTACCAAAATAGAAGCCTTTATTAATAAAAATCTTTGGTAGTAACAGGATTTTAAAGTCCTCTCCATGATATTTGGTTAACTAAAAAATGAGAAATTCCTTCCACCTCTGAGCTACAGAAAAAGAAAAAAAAACAAACAAAACCCCCTCAAATCCACTGTAGAACTGATTTAAAAAGACGACTCAATAAATATCCTATGGCTGCGAATGTACCCCCTGGGGGGAACCCCAGACTTCTCAAAACCCTTGTCCCCCCTAGAAGGGCCCCCGGGGGACCCCCTCATTGGCAGCCTGGCTTTGCCCCTTGAGGAAACCCAACAATGGGGAGGTCAGCTCATGGCGGTGGGGAGGGGCGTGGCTGACTGTGGGGACCCCACACGTGCCGCTCCCACGCCCTCTGGCGGCCAGGCCTCCCCTCTTTCTGACCAGAGGGACCGGTTGACTCTGACCTCACCCGCCTCTCCGGCCTCCCTCCCGGTCACAGGTCCCACCAGCGTGTGCCCGGCACCTCGGAATGCCTGTGGCTTCACTGGGCACCAGGAGCACTCGAGGGGTGGCCCTGCTTGCCGATGTCCTGGGAGGAGACCCGGTTCCCCGGAGCTGCCTCCGCAAAGGAGAGTAACCACCCCACCCCCAGCAATCATTCTGATTAACCTTGAAAAGGAAAGATTAAAAATTCCCTGCATATGGTTTTGTGCAAAAACAATGGGGAGGGGGACAGACAAAACAGAAAAGACCAAACAATAAAAATAAAAAAGGTTGTCCTATCAGAAGGTGGCCTTCAAGGTTTGCTGCAAACCCAGGAGCCACCGGGCGTGGAGGGTGGAGGGGGCCCGTGCTGCCTGCCCGGAAGAGGTGTCCGTCGGTCGAGGCGCAGCACCGCTACAGCGCGCCTGCGCGGTGCGCCGGGCCGGTCGGGTTGGGGCTGTGGTTGCTGAGCGGCTTGTCCTCCGCGGGGCCCTTCTCCATCCAGGTGCCCAGCAGCTGCTGCTTGCCCTGCTCCTCCCTCATGAACAGCTCCACCAGCAGCACCTTCTCCTTGTGGGTCTGCTGGCTGATGTCCTTGGGGATGTCGGGGATGACCCAGTCCACAAAGTCGCTCATGAACATGACCAGGTTCTGCGGGGAGAGGCAGCGTGTGGCGGCGGCAGGCCCGCCCGGGAGACCGCCCCGCACCACTCTCAGGGCGGACTCTGCGGCCTGAATGCTGAGGCTGCCAGCCGTGGCCGGCCGGACCCCCGTTGGAGCCCACCACTCTGGCCCAGGGTCCCACTCTCAAGATCCCGGACACAGGGCCCGTCTTACCTGGAAGACAATGACGAAGGCCAGCCGTGCCGCCAGGACGGCCCAGAAGTCCTTGGAGATGTCGTACTTGTGTTCTGACCACGGGGGCTCGCGGTAATCTTTGTACCTGCAAGTGCCGGTGGGAATTGGGGGTCTGCGAGAGGAGCCTAGGGCTCTGCTCGGTGCTGTGAAGCTGCTGAACCCCGGGGAGCCTCAGCTGGGCAGCTGCCCAGGGGGACCTGGAGTCTCTCTCTGGGTGGGAGGGAGGTGGCCAGGAACCCAAGGGGCCTTGTGGAAAATGAGCACCCCAGGAAGTGTTTCACAGAAGTGGGCTCTGGGACCATCTGGTGAACCCCTTTATTTAAAAAGAAACTGCCAGTTGGCCACCCAAAGCAAGTGGGTCCCCCTGGCTGACATGGGGGGACGTTCTGGAGGCCTGGCTCCCCCAGATCCCAAGCCAACCCCTGCTGCTCAGAACTGCAGATGGGGTGCCTGGAACCAGTCTGTAGGCCACCTGTCCAGTTTCTCCCCTCTTTGCGGGGAAACTACTGGAAAAAGCTAAATGTTTTCTCAGCGAGGTTTGTGGAGGAGGTTAAATGGACTATTGGTGTGGTCGGGCCCTGCCCGGCAACTGCCCCAGGGGTGTAGTGTCCCAGGCACCCCTCTCCCCGCTGTGACCTGTTAGCCGCCACCTCCCTCTCTCTGCACAGTGCCAGCCCCCTCCCGGACACTCAGGCTTAGATGCTGCTGGGAGATGCCAGCTCCCTCACACCCCTCCCCCCAGGCCCCGCCTCTGCACCTCTTGGGGCTGTGAACACGATTTCATTATCCGTATTTACTCTGTCCACCCCACCACCAGAGGGAGCACTGAAGGGCTCCTCCTAAGCTTCAGGTCTCTTCCACCCCTTCCTCCTCCATGGGGGGGCCACAGAGGCCCGGGATGGAGCCTGAGGTCCTGTCCCACCTAGGCCCACCAGACTTCTCCTTAAATTTGGGGGGATGCTTGGGTTTAAGGGGGCTGACCCCCCTGTGCATTGGAAAATCTGTGCAAATCAACCCCTGGTTCCCAAGTGTGGGGCTGCAGGGGTGTCCCCGCTGGTCCCTGAGAAGCTGCTGCCCAGGGGGAGACCAGGAGGGGTGGTACCTGGCTCTCTTGGCACAGCAGCCCAGGCCTGGACCCAGGACCAGCCACCGCCCGGCCTCCCTGGGCCTCTGTCACTGTTCCCTCCCTCCCTCCCTCCCTCCTTCACACCTCGGGCACGTACTGAGCAGCGGCCATGTGCCAGGGCCCAACCCAGGGTGCGATTCCACAGGGGACACACAGCCCGGGCCCCTCCCCCACACAGCTTTAAGTCTGGGCTGAGCTGGATGGGAGGCCGAGCTGCCAACCCCGGAGACGGGACTGGGCTGGGGACACACGGCCAGTGCCAGCTGCCAGCACAGTGACAAGCAGGTTGCACAGCCAGAGTCCGAGAGGAATTGGCAGCCTGTGCTCTCCCGGAGCCAGACAGCACACGCATGCATCCTCCCTCTTCCTCCTGTGCGCAAGGTCCGCTCTATCGGAAGGGGCAAAGTGTGTGGTCACCGGGCAAACTCCTATGCATCCTGCAAAGCCCACTTACGGGCCCGGATGCCACCCCTGTACCGACCTCTATCAGAGAGGATTGTATTTTTTTCCCTTGCCTAGCTCCCCGTGGCCACCTGCCGGCTCGCCGGGGGAGGGGACAATGTCCTCTCTGGGAGCGGCTGTGGATGCTCCACGAGACCAGGCCTGTTTCAGTGCAGGGACAAATGGTGGCCAGCAGCGCCCAGGCTCTCCGCCCTGCTGGGCCAGCTCCCTCACACCCACTGCCCCAGGCCCGGCTCGGCGTGCGGCCCACTGCCAGCTCCTCCTGGAGCAGGGCAGACGCAGGTGTGGCCGCTGGAGGGTGGCATTCACACACCTGCAGCCAGTGATCAGGTGATCACACCAAAGGCTGGGGGAGGGGAGGCCTTGGCTACCAGCAGGTTCCCAGGAGCAGGGTGGCTTGGCCCACCGTCTTCCACCTCCCTGGGGGTGGCAGCCACTGGACCCTTAGAACAACGGGGGCCCTATCTTGTTGGCCTCTCCCCAGTGTGCCCGGTGCAGCCCAACCGACCTGCGGCGTGGGAAGCTGCTTTCTTAACCGAGAGCTGCGACCCAGCGCCGTCTCGTGGAGCCCACCGCTCTCCCTGGAAACATCGGCACAGACACTCCTGAGGGGGCTCCGACCTGAGGGCCCTGCACCCCCTGCCTTCCTTCTTCCTAATCACGCTTCCCCCCGAAATTCAGTTTTAGTAAAGCAGGTCGAACCAAGTGTGTTCTTGGTGCCCCATTCACACCACGCCAAGGTGTTGTGCACCTGACCAGTGGGAGGCCCAGGGCTTGGCACCCAGTTCACGTGCCTGCGGCGGGACCTTGGGAAAGGACTGCTGCCCCTCTCTGTCCCCCAGCTCCCAACGCAGAGTCCTCCCCCAGGGGGATGGGGGAGCGGGTCCTCCTGCTGTCCCCGGGTTTACATGTCTACCTGTGCACGTTCAACTGCAGGCCCCTCCCTGACACAGGGCACAAAGGCCACCACGTCACTCTTCTCTGTCAGTCGGGGCCCGTGGGGAGAGTCTCCTGCTGCCACGTCCTCAGTAGTACCCACAGAGTCCCATAGACTTGGTCCTGGCGCCTTTGCTTTGACGACTGGGAAAGACATTTTTGCCACTGGGACTGCTATGTGGAGAACTGCTGGGGGACCTCTGTGCCCCGGGAAAATGATGCCTGCATGCAGGAAGCCAAGCTGGGAGGCAGTGCCCCCATGGAGCCTGATGGCAAACTGTGGCACCTGGATCCAGCTGTGCCTGAAGCTATGTATATCAAACTTCGTAGTTAAAGAAATGAATAGATCAACTCCTATCCCCACCTAAGGACCTTTTTTCTGGAAGGTGAAGCTGTTCCGTGGCTCGCCCCTGAGAGAATTCCGCCCCAGTCTGGCTCTCCCAGAAAGCCAGCGCACGCAGCTCCCCGCTGAGGGCAGTACCTGCAAATGTGCACCTCGTAGCCCAGGTCCAGGGGATCGTTGGGTGCCGTGCCCTCCTGGAAGTCGCTGACGTTGAAGGAGGAGAGGGTGTGGCTGACGAAGCCGTGCATGGTCCCGTTCTTGCTGTACATGTACAGGTATACCAGGCGGGGGATGAAGTCGGACGTGAAGGAGATCACAAATGCCTGGGTGGGGACGGTGGGGACAGCGGGTGAGTGCCGCCTGCTCCGCTTCCTGTGAGGTGCCCTGGGGTCAAACGTCCAGCAAACACGGGAATGGTGGGGGGTGCTCCTGCCAGCTGCTGAGGCAGCCCAGGGGCCTGGGGACACGTGGCCCCGAGTGGGGAGGAATGCTGGCAGTTGCCTACTGGCTGTGTGGCCGTGGGCAAGTCACCCAACCTCTCTGTGCCTCCCTGTTCTTCTCGTCACATGGGGCTAACGACAGCCACTGTGCACCCCTGGTGCCTCGCTTTCCTGGCTGTGTGAGAGGGATTGAGGGGGCTGGCGGGACTCTGTCACTGGAGCTTGGCCCCGGCCCGGGGGCAGCCGGTGTGGGGCCGCTGTCAGCACAGGGTCCCGGAGCCTCACGCCTGGGCTGCAGCCCAGCTCCGCCCCTTTGTGGGCACGTTGCCGGACCACTCTCTGCCTCAGCTATCTCACCTGCAGCATGGGCAACACCTCCCGGCCCCTGAGGGCCGTGTGCACACTAGTGGGCGGGTGGGCTGTAGGCACTCAGGAGGGCCTGGAACCTTCTAGATGCTCAATACATGGTAGCAGTCGGCATTACCATTGTGGCGGGGCCCAAGAGTTCCCGCTCCTGGGCTGAGCGTTACATTCTGTGCACTGGGGAGCGAGTCCCAGGGCCTCACTGTGACCCTGACCTGTCCCATGAGGAGCCGCCTGCCTCGTCAGCTCCAGGGGCTTGGGCTCAGACTGTGGATGGAGGGGGTGTCCCAGGGTGGCACTTGGGGTGCACCATGGCTGCCTAGGGCTTTTGCATCCAGGACACAGCCTTGGGGGGTTGAAGCACCTGGTGGGGGCCCACCAGACAGAACTCAACCCAGGGGGTCCGGGCCCTGGCCATCAGAGGGACCTCGACAGGAGGCCGGGGGTCGGTGGGCTGTGACGCCCCTAACCTGCAGGTCAGAGGTAGGGGAGGCAGCGGGGGGGGGGGGGGGGGGAGGCAGCCTGTCCTCAGCAAGCTGGGCCTGTGTGTGCACGGGGGAAGTGCTGGCAGGTCCCTCCCCTCCCCCTGTTTCAGTATTTCCCAAAGCGGGAAGTTAAATTTGAAAAAAGAGCAGAGCCATTGCCTATGAGGAATCTCTCTCAATGTCTGTCTGTCTGTCTGTCTCTTATTCATTCTCAGGACTCTGGGGAGAGAGTGGACTCTGGGTCAAGGTGGGCCTGGTGGAGAATTTTGCTCCAGGTGGTAGATAATTTGTTATCCCCACCCAGAGCCCCCCACGACCCCCAATATGACCAAGGGACACTTCTGAAGAGGGGATGCTCCTGCCGCTCTTGGCCGCCCAAGGTGGGAGGCAGAGGCCAGCCCAGTGCCCCGGAACAGGGGCCGGCTGCCCGGCAGCCGAGCCAGGGAGTCCGTCTGCCCGAAGCCACTTACGTTGATGATGACGGCGAGTTTCCCAATGCCTCTGAGGATGTTGTACCAGATTCCTGGGGAGAGAGACGCAGGGCGCTGAAGGCCTCCCGCCGGAGGGCAGGGTGGACACCTGGCAGCGCCGGAGCCCGTGGCGGCCGGTGCGGGTTCATCGGCTGTTTGTAAAGCCATCACGGCTGCCGCCAGAGGTGCTTAGCAACGCTGGTCCCTAAGAGGCCCTGAACCGTCTCCCGTGAGCCTGTTTATGTAACTAATTGGCTCAGGTGATGCCTTTTCTCTGGAAAGACAAAGATTCCATTTGGAGGTGGCTCCTGCCCCAAAGGGCCCAGGACTTTGGGGTCTCGGACTGTTCCATAGCCGCTTTTCTGTCCCTATACTCGGGGACAGGCCAGAGGTAGTGCCGCGGTCAGCGAGCAGAGCCAGGGACCCAGCAGGCAAGGCCGGGTCCTGTCCTAGGCGCACTGGCTTGGCAGCAGTGGGGGGTAGGCTGTTCCCCATGACACCTGAGCCCAGGTGAGCGCCTGGAGAACCCCAGGTCCCTCCACGGGACTCCTCAGCAGCTGGGCCCAGCAAGGGAGCCCCTTAGCCGAGGACCAGAGCAGGCTCTGCTTGTCGGGGCCTCAGTGCGCGCCTCCAGGGAAGGGCCAGCGCCCCCCTGACCCCACCGCACCCTCACCGAGTCCTATCAGCGTCGCTGAACCAGATCTGGGTGGGTCGACTCGCCTTCCCAGAAAGGGTACGAGAGGGCCGAGGCCCGTTCATGTGTTCGTGTCATTATGCAGAAACAAGGCAGGCGGAGGCCGCCTCTGACCAGGAGAGCGGTGAGCCCCAGGGCGCCTCCGTGGCCCCGTTCTGGGGGTGCACACTGGTGGTCTGCAGAGACACACATTCAGGCCTGTGTGGCCCAGAAGTTCAAAACCACAGGCAGCAGCCAAGGTCAGCAAGCGAGGTGCCGGGTTCTCAGTCCCCAGCCCTGGCCAGTGAAGGTACGGGGACAGCCACACCCATTGCCCACGCCGGAGCAGGTGGTCACACCCTGAGTGAGCGCTGAGCTAACCCGAGAAAACAGTTCACTGTGGTTCCCTCTGGTGGGAACCATCACGTGGCTCGTGGCCGGGAAAGCAGCTCTCACGTGCTCGGCCCACCTGCGAGGCCTGAGTGGCAGGCTCACGCTGGGGTGCCACAGGTGAGCCCGGGTCGGCGAGGGCCCCCGCGGGAGGGAGCACCTGAGCTCAGCGGGAGGAAATGGGTCCGTGGCTGGGCCAGGGGGCCGCCCAACCAGCTGAGCAAGCGATGGGGGACTCAAACGTTGGAAACATTTTAGTTTCAGGTGATAGCTAACAGGCTGAGTGAACAATGCACGGGAAGGCTGTTCTTCCAGGAACGGAAGGTGGGACCCGCCTGGACTCCAGGAGACCAGAGGCAGTTCCGCCCTTGTTGGCAAGCCCCGAGACGGAATCTGAGCCGCTGGGCTCCAGGGGGACGTGTCCCAGCCCAGGACACAGACAAAGACTACAGCCCAGCGCACAGATGACCCAATGCTGCAACTTTTATCTGATTACCGTATTTTTTGGACCATAAGATGCAACTAGGTTTTAGAGGAGGAAAAATAGGAAAAGAATTTTTTAAGCAAAAAGTGTGGTAAAATATTAAATAACATAAATAACATAATATTTCACCAATGTAAATGTAAACAGAACTCAACGGCAGTGTTAACAACCATTATTCCTCCCAAGTTTAGGAGGGAAAAAGTGCATCTTACAGTCCCCAAAATACGGTAACTTCTCCCCTGAATTCCAAACCCCTTACCTACACTGACTTCTCCTTATAAAAAGGGTCAGTTTACAGCGGAGTTCAGGATGTTCGGGTACAGCACAAACGCACCGTCTTCTCAGCTCCTGGCGTCTGAATAAAGTGCCGCAGAAATTCAACCCCCCCCTCCACCCCCGTCTCTGCTTATGGGTCTGGCGAGTGACAGGCAGCATGACTGCTGGCTTTTCTGGGTTCAAAGGGCACGGTGGGGACTAGTCTGTGAGGGTCCCCCCGGAGCTGAGGGCTCAGCCAGTCCCACAGGGACTGCCTGTGTTCACGGGGTGGTCGGTGGTCCTCAGTGTGACGCCCGCACCAGGACCACAGGGCTGTGTTTCAGTAAGGCAACACTGGGGACTCCAGAGCAGCCCCTCTTCCCGGATACTCGACTGCACACTCCACGGGATGGGGGGGGCGTTGCTCCGAGGGCCTCCAGGAACTGAGTCAGTGGGGAGAGGGGGAAACATCTCCGGGAGCTGTGTCCTTCAAGGCACCGCTCCCCCCAGGGACGCTGAGCCCCATTTCTAAGAACATGGCAGGAGATGCTGAGTGCCCGGTGCTGAATGCGGGCAGAAGCCTGTTACAGGGAGTTGGGGGGGGGAGGCACTGCAGAAAGAGGCTGAGGGCAGGAAGCATGTTAATCCCGTGTCAAAGGTCAGGGCCGGAAGCTGCAGCGGTTCCCACGCACAGGAGGACAGGGCTGGGTCCCCTGCAGGGACTCGCCACACCCCTCTCTCTGTGCCCGGGCAGGGCCATTGGGCCTTTGTGGTGGAACTTCCCCCTGCTGCTCCATCCCGGGGGTGCAGGTCCAGGGGGCCACCGAGTCCTCTGGGGCCCCACGCAGGTCACAGGAGGAGCACACGAGCCTCTTCTGGAAAAGATTACAGCGAAGGGGCCGCAAACGGCGATGGGAGGGCAGACTGCGCCTCCAACCGACTGTGCAGGAACCAGGAAGCCAGGGCCAAGCCACCAGGCCCGGGAAACACGGGCAGCCCTGAGCCAGACCGGAGGATGTGCATGCCAGCCTGGCTCTCGGTGGGAACACGGCCACTGTGGACCGTGGGGGACACAGTCTGGCCCGGCTCCCCTCACTGCGGTGAGTTTGAAGGTTTTAGGATGTGGCCGCAGGGGACAGCGAGGGCTTTGCCAAGCAAAGAGTGCCAAAGCAAACCAAGGACTCGCCCGGGGCCTCTGGGCGCCCAAGAATCGGGCCTTTGTGAGGCTGGAGTGGCAGGCGGACACGCTCTTTTCCTGGCTGTCCTGGGCACGCACGGAGCTCCAGGTTTCCTAGGCACAGTCCGGGGCACGTCCGGCAGCCACCCTCTGCCCCTTTCAAGGCCTGGGGTGCAGTGACCCTCTCCTCACAGAGGTGTGCGGCCCTGACCCACATGAGGGGGACAGGCCTAGAGTCAGGGCCAGGAGGGCTCAGAAGGCCCGCTCAGCAGCTGTTTAAAGTCACACGAAACATGGTACGGGAAATTCCAGTGTGGAGGAGCTAAAGTATCCAAACACAGGACGATGGCTGCCTACTTCAGTCCCAGCTCCAATGCTGCTTCCTGAGAAAAGCTGGGTTTCCAGGCTCCTCTCAAAGCCCGGCCTGCTGGCCTCACCCCAATCCCACAGCTTAAACACAGGGCTGCGAGTGAACCAGGCGAGATCACCGAGATAGGACCACGTTTGAGCTACGGCGATGGCGATTTCATGCAGCTCAACCCCACTGACCACAAGCATGATGGAAGCTGGCGTCCACGGCATCTCAGAGGGGGACAGTGGGGGTGGGGGTTCTGGCCACCATTGGCTGGCCAGCAGAGGCCAAGGCTCGGACCAAGGAGCCTCCTGCTGACTCGGGGCTATGAACAGGGAGGGGACGGCCAGAGGGGCCTTTGCAGAGGCCGCCCCAAGGCCTGGGGCTGCAGGAGCGCCCGAGTGTTAGCCAGATGGCCTCTGGGCCAGAGCAGCCCGTCACGGAGGGGCCCTTACTTGCAGCCATGCACGAGCGCCCTCTCTACCACGAGACTCAACCTCTGCCTGCCGAGAGCTTCCCTCACCACTGCCGTGTGAGCCAGGAGACAAAACGTTGTAATTCCCTGTCTCGTTTCAAGATAAAAATCCCAATACCTCTTTTTCACCCTGAACACGGGGTCCCCATTTCAGTGGATTGACTTTAAGACGAGATGGGCGGAGTGCTTGTTGGGGTGGGCTGGCCCTGAGCCCTGCCCCTCGATGTCCCCACCTCTCTTACCACCCCCGGATGGGCACCCACCTCTGCTTAAATGCTGCTGGTGACAGGGAGCTCACCACTCCACAGGGGAGTCTGCCCCCTGTTGTCACCTCTGACCATTAGGAAGTTACCGCCCCTGCTGCCGTGACACCTGCCCTCCCCCCAGCCCCTCGTCCCCGTGGATGAGGAAGGGACCCCTTAATGGCCTGGGTTAGAAGGCCTGGGCCCCTAAAGGCCTCTGCCAGTGGACGGGGTCATCTTCCTTCCTTTGCTTTCTTTCCCATGGACATTCAATGATTAAATGGCTCCCGGTGCGAAGGCTCTAGTTAAGCAGCTGATGAATGGGTCTGGCTCTGTGCTCTGGCCGGGGAGTGGGGGTGGGGCGAGGTGAGGGCGGCGTGGGCACAAATGCCCTGCGTGGGGAGGGATGTGGAAGACCCTCCTCCGGCCAGTGCAGCCTGCGGGCCTCCTGGGGCAGTGGGTTGTAAGACAGATACCAGGACTCTTGCCCAAATATTCTCGTGGCTGATACATCCTGGGGGTTAGGAGCTCTGGGCTGGGGGTGAAGGAGCCTCGGGGTGTTACACCGCTCTGCCCTGGGTCCCCGAGTCCCCATGCAGGCGAGGCATAGCACGGAGGGGCAGGGACCCCGGGCCAGGCCCCACTTGGCCGCCTCTGGCTCTTGCTGCCACAGAGCAGGGTCCGGATCCCAACCCCAGCACGTGCTCAGAACCCGCCACTCGGGTCACTCACCGATGTCCTTGGCTCTGACGGCCACCGGCCTGCGCAGCTCGGTGACGAACTTTTTGGCGTCCAGGCGGATCTCGATGATGTTGTTCAGCAGCGCGAACAGCGGGGCCAGGGGGAAGGACGCCACGAACAAGGTGACAAAGCCAAACTGGATGACTGCGGGGAGAGGCGGCGTCAGCAGGGCCCCTGCCCAGCGAGCCGTGGGTCCGGCCGGCGCCTCCTGTGTGCTCCCTGTACACGCAGGGGGTGGCGACCCCGGCCGGGAGGGGCCTGAGGAGGACACACACTTTGCCTGCATCTCACTGTGAATTGAACGGCAGGCATGAACTCACTTATCACACATCTAATCTTAACGTGTAATACAAAATGATACTGACTGTGACCTGCGATCGAAAAATAACCAAAATTGACACTGGGAGAAAGGCCCCCGAGAACAGCGAGGCCCAGCCTCCGTCGCCCACCTCCTCTCGTGGGCCCCTACACTCCCATCACCCAGAGGTTCCTGGACTGGGTGTCCTGCCAGCGTCTCCCAGGGCCCCCAGAGTTCCCGTCCCTCGGGCCTTGGGCAGCCAGGCAGGGACCACTGTCCGGGACGAGATGGCCCCAGCCCCACCTTTTTCTCCGAGTCCTAGTCCCGGGCAGGGCACCCTTGCCGCTTCTTTGCCTGGGACGTATGGCCAGCACAGGGCCAGCGACCAGGAGGGGACAGGGACAGGCCGCCGAGCAGAACCGAGCAGGGCGGCTGGCTCAGAAAGTACCCAGCAGGCCCCGTCCATGGCACTGGGTGCCAGGCAGTAAACAAGGAAGTGACAGAAAGTCACCGTGTGCCTGGTCAGCTGAGTGTGACCACTGCCAGCACAGTGGGTGGGGCCTCCGTGTGGCCTCTGGACCTCGGGGGTGTCTGTGGACAGCGGTCCCCTCTGAAGGCTCTGGGGGTGACGGGGCCCTCGGATCAGCTCAGCAGGCTCAGCGGTGGGGGTGGGCGCTGCTGAGGCCAAGGCTGTGGGCGCCCCACTTTCCTAGCACTGAGGGGCCAGGCTCAGGGATCGGTGGGGGGGGAGCTGGAGCCTGGACGGGGCTGGGGTGGGGGGGACACTCCTGGCTGGGCCTTTCTTCCCACGCACGGGTGCCTGTGTGCACCACGTGCCCAGCCGAGTTGGTCTCGAGGAGGAGATAGGTGGCGGGGTGGCGGGGTGGCAGCCATCCAGCCCAGAGCGCGCCCTGGTGTGAGGACGAGGGGAGAGGTCTGGGACCCTCCAACGGGGGCTCCCGGAGCGGATGCCCTGGCCCATCCCTGGTGGTACCCACTCTGCGACTCCCCTTTCCCTCAGCCGTTCACTCAGCAAACACACACTGAGCGCCCACTGTATACCCGGACCTGCTCCAGGTGCGGGCTACGCTAGAAGAGGAAGGAGGTGAGCGGACGGCGTCAGAGGGTGATGGGACACAGAGCAGGGAGGGCGGAGGGCAGCGGCTGTGCGGGGGAGCGGCTGCCCTTTCTGCGCTGTGGTCAGGGAGGCCGCTCTGGGAAGGACATTCGGAGCAGAGCCCCGCGGGAGGGAGCTGGGCAGGTGTGAGGGGACAAGGGCAGCAGCCGCCGGCTCTGGGTGGCAGTGGGGGGCCTGCGTGGCAGAGGGGAGGGACAGGGCAGGAGAGGGGGACGGAGTCGGGGAGGCCCCAGGTGGCTGCCCTGTTCCTGGCTGTCCCTTGCTCTGCCCCTGGACCAGGGCGGTCCCGGGCCGCCCCGCCGGGCCACACTCACTCATCTCCATGTACTCTGGCGTGAGGCCGGCGAACGGCTCCAGCGTGAAGTCCACCTCGTACCGCTGCTTCCTCTTCACGTGCTCGTCCGAGGGGCTCTGCTGCCTCAGCCTCAGTGAGCGGATGAGCTTCTTCATCTTCCTGAAAGAGATGCCGCACCCTCAGGCAGCCGCCGGGGGTGGGTCCCGGGGTGGGGCCCGGGGCCCGGGGCCCCGTGCCACACGCTGGCTCTCCCAGCCGCCCCATTCGCACCCTCAGCGGTCACGCTGGCCTCGACTGCCCTGGCCTCACTGAGCCCCGATGCCCTCTGCCCAGAGGTGGGGTCGAGAGTCATCGCCTTGTTTGTGACACAAGGAAACAGAGGCGCAGGGAGGGCAGTGGCCACCCGACATCTCGGGGAGGGGGGGGCCCGCAGGGGTCGGGCCCGGCCGTGCCCAGGTGCAGTCTTCGAGGCAGGAAGGACAGAGTGGATCGGGGAAAACTGCTCGGAATGTCCCTGGCCCCGGAGGGCTGGCTGCCTGGACGAGGGAAGGGGCATGGTCCCTGAAGGGTGCCAGGTGCGCACCTCCACCCGCCAGCCACAGGAGGTGACACATGGGCTCGGGGCGTCAGTGACACACAGGCCCGCTTGGCCAGTCAGGAACAGTCGCCGGCCCCTTCCCCCCCTTCCCCCCACGGTGGGGTGGTTGCTGCCCCGGCCTCCCCTCTGTTCTTGCCTCCTCCCTGTGTCTGGAGCCCCCATCTCGGTCCAGGCCCTGCCCCCCGTGGGCCGGCGGCTACTCACGGGATGCCGATCTCGAACAGGTTGTTCTGGATGAGCTGCTTGCCCAGCATGATGATGCTGAGCTGGATGCAGAGCTCCATGAGACAGCCCCCCGGGGCGCACTGTGGGGGCGGGAGGCAGGTGCGTGAGTCCACGGACCCTGGGGGGCACGGCCACAGTCCCGGGGGGGGGGGCCTCGCCCTCATGGGGGCGGCTGGAATGTCTCCTGACAGGTCCAGGCCCCCGTCCCGGCCCCTCGGAACAGGGCCCCGTTTGGAACCAGGGTCTTTGCAGGCGTGAGCGGGTTATGGTGAGGCCATCCTGGGCGGAGAGGGCTCGGAGCCACCGACCTGTGTCCTCATAACAGGGGTGTCGAACCCATTGTCACCGGGGGCCCCATCAGCCCTGCGTTCGAAGGGCCGAAGGTAACTTTAGGATTGTATAAGTGTAACTAGTCCTTAACAGAAGCCAGAGCCAGGTAGAAACAAGGTGTAGGGCCAGATAAAACAAGGGGGGGGGGTGGATTTGGCCTGCGGGCCTTGTGTTTGCCACCTGTGGCTTATAAGAAGAGAAATAGGCTCCCACCCCTGGCTGATGTGGCTCAGTGGATTGAGCGCCAGTCTTCGAACCAAAGGGTCGCTGGTTCAATTCCCAGTCAGGGCACATGCCTAGGTTGCGGGCCAGGTCCCCAGTAGGGGGCGTGTCAGTGGCAAACACACTGGTGTTTCTCTTCCTCTCTTTCTCCCCCCCTTCCCCTAAAAGTAAATAATTACTAAAAAAGAAGAGAAACGGGCACCCAGAGGAGAAGGCCAGAGCGATGTGTCTAGGTGCAAGGGCGCACCGAGGGCTGCTGTGGCCACCAGGCACCGGGGCGCGGCCTGGCAGGAGCCTGCGCATCCCCACGACTCCTTGCCTGCGGACTTCAGGCGTCCACAACCGCGAGGGGATTGGTTCTGCTGTTCTGAGACAGCAGCCCGCGTGTGGGGTTTTGTCGTGGCCCCCAGGGAGCCGACGCCCTGGCCTGCAAGCTTCGGGGCCGGGACCAGGCTTGTGAAGGGCACGGGCTGCCGGGAGTGGGCAGCGCCCGGGCGGGGTCTAAGGGCCCATGTGGCCTTGGGCTTGGGGCCGGGCAGGTACGATGGCGGAGAAGCCGAACTCGTCTGAGGAAACAGAACTCGGGGTCACGTGGGGTGACGCCCTGAGGACAGACGGCCCCTCTGAGTTCCTAGCAAATCTTCTCATATTGTTACTTGAAAGTTCATCTTAGCCATCATCTCATGAGAAAAAATGATGATATCCCTCACTTTATTCTACAAAGGCATGTCCCCAACATCTTCAAACGGTACAGAGTTTGGCAGGGCGCCATCTGTGTAAAAGGCGTGTCACCACGAGACAGCACTTGCCGGGCTTTTGAGGACACTGTGGACGAGGCCGGTGTCCTGGGAAGTTCAGGGCCTGGCATACACATTTAACCTCTAGGCCACGCCCCGCGCAGCCAGACCACCCTGCCTGAACCTGAGGCCCACCCAGGTCCTCTCTACCCGGGCCCACAGGGTCTTTATCGGGAAGACCCGACCCCTTCTTTTCCAATAAAGCTGAATTATTCTAGGAGCTGGAAATGCCCGCCGGTTCCCCTGAGACCAGAACCGCCGACGGGCTCTGCAGCCCCGACTTGGTCCGGGGCCGGGGCTCGGCGCCGTGGGCAGCGGGCCCACTAACCAGGCCCGCGGTGGCCAGAGCTCTGGGTAAGAACCTGAGGTCACCGGTGTGGTGTTATGGGGGAGAAGTGTTTTAACTTTTCCATGGTAAAGTTAAAACAAAGGGAGCTTGGTGGAGCTTTCTCCTTACCTTAACCAAAGAGGAAATACCGGACGTCTCACACGAAAGGGAAAAACCCTGTCATTGTTTTGGGGGGAGTAGGGGGAGCCAGGGGGAGCCTGTCTCCTTTGGGGGAATCTGGAGGGCCCACACCTAACACCCCGAGAGCCGGTCCACCCTGCGGCGGAGGGAGTCCCCGCGGAAGCCTCACCTCTTCCATGCGGAAGGATCGGAAGATGTAGACGTAGTCGCCCGGGCGTCCCACGAACCTGTGCGGGTAGGGGGGCAGTTAGAGAGCAGAGACCCGGCTCGGGACCCCAGGGCGGGGGTGAGCCGCGCTGAGGGGCCCGCCGTTGGGGCCTCGAGTGTCTGTGCAGGCTTCTCCCTGCCTGGTTCATCTGCAAAGCCCGACTGCGGCGTTTTCCGTTGGCCGAGTGCGTTCACCTGATTCCCAGACCCACTCGGGGTGAGAACTGTTAGAGGAAACCAAGCAACTGAGGGGTGGGGAGCAGGAGGGAGCCCAGGAGGGGGCTAAGGCCAAGCTGCTGGAGCGCGGACCAGCCACCCACCCCGGCAGGGCCGCAGAACCCGGGGACCTGGGACAGGCTGGGGTGGGGCCGTACTGCGGCCGCCTCTCTGCTTCCTGTGGGATGTGTAGGGTGGGGGCCCTCAGAGGGCCTCCCTTGTCACGGATGCTCTCAGGTGGCCAGGACCCTCGGCTGGGCTCTGGGGCCCTGGGCTGGGCAGGCAGCTACAGGACTTGCACATCACACGATGCCAAGGAAGGAGCCTGTGGCAGGGGTCTGGGGATCGGACCTGCCAGCCCCAGCCAGCAAGGTGGCGGGAGCCTTAGTGGGTGGGTCCTAGGCCCTGCCAGGCCCAGGGTGGGGGTGCAGGCGTGGGGGTCAGCTGGCCACCAGCCTGGAACAACGAGCCGGTCAGCAGATGTACTCCTTATGCCTTCTCCCACGGCCCGCCCCCTCTCGAGGCACCCGGGCCCCCGTGGGAGCACCTGGAGCTCGCTGCCCGGGGTCCCCATGCCCAGGGTCCTTGCTCCCTGGGGTCCCTGCTGCCTGGCGCCCCCACAGGAACTCGGACCCTTGCAGAGTTTGGCGGCCGTGAGAGCCACGCTGATGGCTCTGTTCTGGGCCGGAACGCCCCCACCTGTGGGACCTGGCGGGGGAACCTCCCCTGGGCTGGGGGAGCCAGGGGTGGGGAGAGGCCGAGAGGTTCCGCAGCGGAGCGGTGCCTACCTGCCTTTGAAGAAAGCCACGTAGAAGATAGGGGTATAGGAGTTGACGAACTTCAGCAGGAAGGCCTTGAAGATCAGTCTCTCCTCAAAGCTCTTCTCGGTCTTGGGGACCTCTGGAAGGGGCAAGGCGCATGCTGCCGAGGGCCCAGGCCGGCCACTCCACTCGACTCGCACAGGGACAGGGCTTAACGGGGCATGAGTGACCAGCCCAGGGCCTCGCAGTGGGAGGGGGGCGACCCAGCTCCAGGGCTCGGCTGGGGCCGTGGCCACGGGGGCGGCAGGTGCTCACCAATCTTGGTGAGCCAGCGGGCTATGCAGCCGTACACCTCGTCCAGGAGGATGATGACCACCAGATTGATGATGACTGCGGTGGCTGTGACCGTGACCCGGATGTTGGACCGCACGGACGGGGAGGAGTTCATGGCTAGGGCGGCAGCCGTGGAGATTCTGTAGATGATGACGCCAAGGACGATGGCGAAGGTCACCGCTATCTGCAGAGAGAGGGGCACCTTAGCAGGGCCACCAGGGTCTCGCTCCAGCCCAGCCCCTCCCGCTTCAGCTCCGAAGCGGGGCAACCATTTGCTGTCCCCCACCGCACGCCAGGGCTCTGTGGCATCAACTTCCTAGGCACGGACGAGGGGCTCGTTTCTGTTTTACAGAAGAGACTGAGGGCCAGAAGGGGCCAGGTAACCAGGTCCGGCCGCCCAGCCCACACGCTGGGACTGGCCAGCTCTGTGCGATGGCAGGTGGACCACAGCTCGGGGTGTCTCTGCAGCCTGGCGACGGGGCGGAGGTGACATGGTGGAGCACTGACTGTCTGGGCGGAGTGCTGACTACAGGAGGCGCTGGGGGTGTGGGGCGGTCCGACCAGGGTGGCAGTGCCCCAGGCCTGCCTGGGACAGGCAGGTCGGGTCCCGTCTCTCAACCTCCACGGGGCCACCAACACCCTTGTCCCCAGGAGTGAGCCTCTCATCTTGCCAAACCCACTCACGGGCTGGATCGGTCCATGAAACTCGGGCTGGTGGTTGCCTGAGAGACGGGTGGGGGCCATGATAGGTCTCACCCATGTGTGCTGTCTGGCGGCCTGGGTGCCTTTCCCTCTTCCTCGAAGACCTCGGCTGGGCGGGAAGAGCCCATCCTCACCCTGCCCCTGCCCTAGGAGTGAGGCCGCCTGCAAACCCCAACCCCAAGGACACACTGTGGGGTGCCGGCTCCGTCCTCTTTCCGCTCCCTCCCAGTGTTCCGTGTCCTCACACGGTGGCTCCCGTTAAGGGTGTGGCAGGCAGGCCCGGTCCCTGCTGGGAAGGTCCCTCGAGGCTCCCAGAACAGGCCTGGAGCGGCCTGGGGACGTGCCCTATGTCCTTGCAACTGGGAGAGGCTGTGGGCGGTTCGCCCCACAGGGGCCCCGCGGCCATCGGACGTGTCCTAGGAAAGCTCTTGTTCTGAGCTTCGGGCCAGTGACTCTGCTCCTGCTGGTGACTAAAGGGGGGCCCCGCCCTGCCCCAGAGAAGGTCCACGGCCACACCACGCCCCCTGGAGGGGCGGCTCGTTCTGAGGTGCGGGTGCCACTCCCCGCCCGCTCTGGGAACCAGGGCTTTCCTCAGAAACCCTGGGCTCCTGCCCAGAGGCCCCTCCCAGGGGAGACGCCGCCCTGGCCTGGGAGATGGAGGTGCAGACAGGGCGGCTGGCTGCCCCTCTGCTCAGCCAGAGGGCTGGCGAGTGCCCACGGCCCTTCTGGGTACGATTCCCCTCTGGAAGGAAGGAGCTGTCAGGGCTGAGGCTCGGCTGGTGGATTTGCCCCGGGGGGTACATGGTCGGCGCTCAGCTGAGGCTGGCTCAGTGAACGGAGCTCCTGAGCGCGGGGGAAACACTGATGCATCTGCCGGGCTCGCCAGGACATCAAGGGCCAGCTTCTTCCCTACCCACTCTCTGCCTTTGCTGGGGGTAGCGATGTGCCCACGTCCCAGCTTCCCTGAGGCCAGGGTGGCCACAGGAAAGGGTGTGACCAATGAGATGCAAGTGGAGGTTGTGGACAGGCCTTCTGGGAAGCGCCTTCAGTGAGGGGCTGCCTCCGCTGGCATCGCCTCCTTCCCCTGGGCCCTAACCCTTCTTCCTGCCTGGAACGTGGAGGTGATGTTGGAGGTGGAGCAGCCATGTTGTGACCACGAGGAGGCACAGGGTGGGTGGGAAGAAGGTCATAGGAGCTGGGGTCCATCAGCACCGCAGAGCTGCCCGACCAGCCCGACCCTGCCCACCTCCTCCCGTGGCATCGCATGAGGAGCCTAAAACTCCTCAAAGTGACAGGGAAGTGACCTGTCACCATGGGCTCCTTGCAGTGGTGCAGAAAGGGGCCCAGCCAGCCCCCAGCCTCCTGCCACTCCTCACCGGTCCTTCTGCAAGGGCACTGCTGCTTGTGTGCCAGGAGCCTACGTCTCCTGTTTCCCACACCCATCCCCCATGAGGTGAGCCCTGGGGGCTCTGGGTAGGGACCACGTGTGCCTGGAGGGGACACTCATGGGTGTGAGGGGCGTGTGCTCCGGGCCCTCAGCGAGAGCCGGGTCCACTCACAGTCTCCAGATGGCACAACAGGGGCCCTGTCGAGTTGGCTCCCTGGTCTTGGGGGTCCCCACCCTGGGTTTCTTTACATTGGCCGAGGTCCACCTCTCACTGTGTGTAAGAGCATGAGGGGAAACTGAGTCACTACTTCGCCTCTGAGTACTCGGATTAGGGGGCCTGCCCTCAGCCCAGCACAGAAAACCAAGACGAGCCCCAGCTCCCTGTCTCCAAGTTCAAACAGAGCAGCCCTACAGGCACCTGGCCCCGACACCTGCTGGCTGGTGGTCTGGGGAGAGGCCAGACCTTCGGGCCTCAGTTTCCTCACCAGCTGCAGGGGGGTGCTGCCGGGACAGGTGGGTCGTGAGGATGCAGGGAGATGCCCCCTGGGAGGCCCTCAGGCCGGCCAGGCTCCTGCCCAACCCTTGGCCCACAGCAGGGCCCCGGGGGCCGGGAGCCAGGTTACAGGGCTGGGGCTGTGCAAGACTCTAATGCAAAGATCTGGGCTGGATGCAGGGACGGTTGTGTCTTCAGTGACTGCAAGTGGCCCCGGCCTCTCGGGGAAGGACGGGAGAAAGCGCAGCTCGGCAGGGGCGGAGGCCTCCCAGGCCAGGGGCCCGTCAACATCGAGCTAAAACCCCACAGAGAGCTGAGGGGTGGCCCCGAGTCACGGCCCCAAGTCACCTGGGTGGCATTGTCCTGAGTTTTGTCCTATCTGCGCATTATTCTTTAATATTGAGTCGTTCTCTGTAAAAGCATCTCAGCTTTGTCCGAAATGCTCTCTGTGAAATCTGGGTTCGAGCAACGTGTCACTTAAACGTGCCATGAAAGGTGTGCATCAGGGACCCCACGATGTCACCTCACAGACCCCACGGCACGTGGAGCCGCCTTGGGGTCACTGGGGAGCCCTGGGTCCTTCCCATTCTCGGGGCACCGTCCCACATGGATCCACCTGCCACGGTGACGGCCAACCCCCAGCCAGGTGCGGCTTCCCTGGGGCCCTCCCGCTGGGCCTTCCGGAACTTACCATGAAGAGAATGGACACCAGGTTGGTGAGGTAGGCTGGGAACCGATCTCTCCAGGTCAGCTTCACCCTGTCGGTCTACGACAGGAGACAATGCAGGGTCACCCATGGGAGCCACCACGGTGGGGAGAAGAGTGTGTGTGCACATGAACTTGGACACACTTAGCAACACCTTAAAAAAAGGTGGGCAGGTGACGAGAGAGTGCAAACATCCTGTGTTCCGAGGAACAGTGGGGTTCTCGTCACCTGGGGAAGGAGGTCCTGGGGTAACAGCAGTGACAGCCGTTTAAAAATGGGAGTCTTCCGTGTCACAAGAGTAATAATGCCAAACAGCCACGCCTCTGAATCAGATCCTTAGACCCTGTCGGGGAGAAGCCTGCACCTGGTGCCCCTTCATTTGGCAGAAAGTCTCACTTCTAAGGCTAGAAGACCCAAGGCGCTTCGCCCACCGCGCCCCGGGGAGCCCGCCGCCGCCCACCACAGCAGCCTTTTTTTCCTCGGCTGAGCGAGTTGAAACAAGCAACCCGCACCAGTTCTAAGGCCGGCCGCCGCGCAGCCACGGCGGACCGTGGCGCACCCTGGTCCGCGGGCTCTCTGGGTCTGGAGGGACCTTAAACAGAAGCTTGTCCCTGACCCGGGACGGTTCCAGAACCGGGTGGGTTTTTAAGTGGGAAATGCAAGTATTCGGTCAAAGAACGCTGCCGAGGACATGACCCGGGGGCCGCTGGTTCCGGGGCGGGTGGCATGCGTGTTAACGAGAAGACCGAGACCCGCTGGCAGGCAGTGGTGACGAGCACGGCTGACAAGCTCCCCCGCCCACGGCCCCACCGCCATGCAGTGACATCTCCGCACGCCCCGCAGCTTGCTGGGTGTGGCGGGAAGGCAAGAAGCATGGTGGTGAATGTTAACAACACACAAGAGTCAGGGTGTGTCCAGGGGAACGCAGCGGACCGGGCGTCGCCAGCAGTCAAGAGCGGCATCGCCCCAGGACAGAGAGGTACCAATTTCACCCCCGCCATGGCTGTCTTAACCCTCTGCTTCCATTTGTTTGTGGACTCTTCTGGAGCATTCCGGCGCTTCTGGGGAGGGGGAGGGAACAAGAGAGCACCACGGGTGAGGCATGACCGCCCCAGGCCGCTGTCGCCCCCTTCCTTGGCTGCCAGGGCTGATCTGGGTTCTGGGCGTTTTAAACCGGGGCTGGCAGAGCCCCGGGTCCCAACAGAGAGGCCGTGACACAGGTGAGGGGAGCAGCGGGCCAGGTCTCAGGTGAGACCCCACGAGCTCTGTCACGCCCATGCTCCAGCCAGCGGCTGCTGGGACTCACATGGTTCGTTTGTGCAAAGACTCCGGGTGTGCCGGGCACTTGGTGCCGACACGGAGGAAGCCGCAGCCCGAGCGGTCCATTCACGTACCAGTGACGTGGTGGGTCGATTTTACCAGAGGAATCGGTGCCCCCACTGGGGGGAGTGGAAACCATCAAGACAAAGAAATGGAGGAGAAAAGGAAGGGAGTGCGGGCCAGAGGCAGGCGGAGCCTGGGGGCTGCACAGCCTGCAGAAATGAGCCGGCACCCTGCGGCTCACACGTGATCAAGGGCCTCTGGGCAAAGCCGCGAGACCCAGACCCACAGCTGGGGCCTCGTGAGTCCCTGGTCTTCAGCGGAGGGATGTGTGCTGCTCAGCCTTCGCTCCCCCCGCCCAGAGGAAGGCAACACCTTCCACGCCCACACCCAGCGGAGCCGCTGCGAAGCCACGGGGTGGGCTGTCCTGGGGCCACACCTCTCGATACCCGCGTGGGGCTGAGGATGCCGTGCCGAGCACACAGTAGGGCTCTGAGGCATGCGTAGCCTCGCCTGCCCCTCAGGAGGGGTCACAAGGCCCAGAAGGGGTCACGGAGCCGTTCACGGGCACACAGGGGCTGCTCAGGGGGCAGCACGCACTGGGTGGCGTGTGCATGTCTTCCGATCTGCTACGTGAAAAAGACACCCTCCTGATCTGGGGTGATGACGAGCTTCTGTGGCTGTTCTCTTTGCACCCCTGAGCCCCGCTCAGACTTGGAGCCTGTGTTCAGAGAGGTGCACCCCCTTGCCGGTTGCAGGAGGGCTCAGCCGAGTCCGAGACCGGCCGTTTGGAGCACCAGCCTTACCCCCTAGGTGGGGAGCTGGCGACCGTGGCCCCCGGTCACTTTGAATCAGCAAAGGCTGTCCATGGGACACAATGACAAGGCAAGATAAACCCAGGGGACTATCCTGACCAGCCGCAGAGGCCGAGGGCAGAGGGGACAGCGCACACTGGTGCTCAGGCGGCACCCCCGGCGCCCTGGCCTTCCGGCACTGAGGTGCACTGCCCCAGCCGCCGTCAGGGGCCCAGGTCCGGCACCAACGCCTCTAGAGACTCGTGTGAGCTCAGGCCGCTCACAGGAGACCACCGACTCGAAGGACAGGTTCGGGGAGAAAGAGAGGCATTAACGCCCACAGCGGCAGGCCTCGCGGGCATCACCCGCACAGCACCGCTCACCCTCGCTCTCGCTGTCTGAGAGTGAACCAAGGACCCCATGGTGGGTGCCCCGGGCTGGGCAAACCCTCCCGTGCCACCAACACAGGACGCAGCGGGTGGCCCTGGCGAGTGTCACGGGCACTGCGAACCCGCAGCAGGGCCCCGGGTTCTGGGTGTTACAAGGTTGGCTGAAGCCGGAGGCCGCTCTCAGGACAGATCCGGGAGGCGGGGCTACCGCAGGTTTGAGGAGCTGTGGTCTGCGGCCGACCCGGCTCCTCTCGTGTTTGTAATCACGTTTCATGGGCACACGCCGGGCCCCCTTGTTACCCTGTTGTCTGGGGCTGTTTTCGAGCCACAGTGGGGGCATGACTAGCTGTGACCGGGGCCTGTGGGGTCCACACGTTTACCGCCCGGCGTCTGCAGGCCGGATCCCTGTCCCCATGGCGGACGGTCACCCAGAGCCTCACCGCTGGGGAGGCCACCAGCAGTGGCCACCGTACCTCTTTGTCCTTGGACTCCTTTCTCAGCGACTTCTGCAAAACTCGAGCTTCGTACTCAGCTCTGGGATGGCCCTGTGAAGGGGACCGAGGGAATCGTGAGTTTGGGGTGCTCATCATGGGCGCGCACGGCCAATTCAGTCCGCACATTTGCCCTGGGTGCCCCTTGGGGCCAGTTCACAGCTGGCTGTTTGTCCCATTTCCAATCCAGAGCCCGCCGTACACGGTCTGGCCAGGAGTGTGCCCCTCGTTCGGGACCCTGGCCCCTTGGGAAGCCCGCAGAGCTGGGCTCTGCGAGCTGGGGGCAGGTTGGGCTGTGCCCCGCGGCCCGCGTTCCTGCTGTGAACACCCAGCCGTGAACTGGCCCTGAGAATGTCCTATCAGGAGCCGTGGGGGTCAGAAGAGGTGGCAGTAGGTGGCAGCAAGCGCGGCAGACCAGAGGCACCAGGCCTTGGGGGAGATCAGAGCAGGTCAGCGAGAGGCGCTAGAACGGAAGAACGGGGTTAAGGGCCCGAGGGCGGCAGAAGCGGAGACCCCGGCCGGTGGAGGAGCTGCGGGAGCTGAACTGGAGAGAGAGGTGGCGAGGGGCGCAAGAAGGTCCCTCGCCCGGGGAGACAGGCTACGGGAAGACAGAGGAGTGACAAAAAGTTCCAAACCTTCACCGCCTCCTTCGGGGAACCAGACACGTAGAAACAAAAAAACAAAAAGACCGTGTTACTCGTGCTGTTTAAGAGACAGGCCGCACCCTGCAAAGAGACTTTCTCATGAACCAGGATGGAACCGACCGATGTGTGTGGACAAGGAGCCCTCGGGCTGGAGACCCACTGCTGGGCGTGGCCACCTTAGTGTGACCGTGTGGTCGCTTTTGTGGCCCAGGGATTTTGAAAATCCCCGGGTGAGTGCCGCACAAACTGCCTCCATCTGTCTCGGCCAAGGGGCACCCGGGCCGAGTGAGGGCACACGGGCCCCTCTCTGCTCCCAGAGCCAACACCTGGGGCTCTGGCTTCATGGATTGGCTGCCTTTTTGACTCAGGGGGCTCCTTCCCCAAAGGGTCCCCAGTCAGCCACCCCAAGGTGGTGGGGACACTCACCCTGGGGACCTCATTCCGTGCCCTTGGCCTCATGCCCAAGGGTTCCAATGGCCGCCCCAAAGTCAAGTGCCTCATCCGGGGCAGGGTGCAGAGCTCAGGGAATGGGTCCCCCAGGGCCTCAACAAATGGGACTGGCCCCTCGCTGCAGCAGTCCCCAGCCACAAGGACATCATGAAAGGGACATTCTAAGCCTTCTTCTAAAATGAGATGACAACTGCTTTTTGTTGTATGGGAATTTCCTCATTGACACACAAGGAAAGAACCTGCCCGGGAGGGAGCTGGCTGACCCAGACTCCGCCTCGGGGGACCAAGGGGCTCCACGCCCGGCTCACCATGGAGAGCTGCGTGTCCAGTACAGGCTGCACAGGTCTTGGTGTCGCCATGTGTGACATGGGACACTGTGACCTCTGCGGAAGAGGGCTGAGCCCAGAGGCGCTGGCCCTGTGACCCGCCATGGGGGGCTTGCTGGTCCTGGGCCCTCCTTGCTCTGAGTGTGCTCTCTCTGCTGGCCTGCTGAGACCCCTCCGGCTCTCTGGAGGGAGAGCGGTCCCACCATCCGCACTTGAGAACATCGAGGCACAGAGAGGTTAAGCAACTGGCCCCAGGTCACACAGCACAGGCAGGGCCGAATCAGGATGGAACCCAGCAGCCCGGTGCCCTGAGGCTCCTCCTGCGGACCACCCCAGCCACCCCGCCCTGAGTGCTGGGCCCCGTCCAGTGGAACCCATTCCCCTCAGCCACCGACGGCATAGTGGGCCCAGCGCCCGCATGCCGACCTCTCTGACTGCACTGGGTTTGGTTAGAGTGTGGCCAGCAGCCTTAGGAGAGAAAGCGCTGCATGGGGGGTGCGCCCGGAGTGTTAAAAACACGAGGGGAGAGACGTTCACATTCCAACGAAAACCCACGAGGGCTTAAAAAAGAAGTGTGGCATTTGATACAATACAGTGGCGAGCAGCGGGGCCACGCCTTACAGCTGGACTCTGCACAGCTGGCTGTGGGGACTGCCCTCATCATTCCCACTCGTCCCAGGAGGGGCGGGGCCAGGAGCCCCGGGGAGAGGGCTCACCCCCATCCGGGGGCCCTGGGTCCTGACCGGCCCCCTCCCGGGCGGTGGGTTCCCCCTCTATTAGGAAAGGCTCTGCTTCCGTTCCCAGTCACACCAGGTCACTGGCTCTGAGGAGTCCGGCTTTGGCACTCGGGGCAAAGGCTCCCAGCCGCTCTGGGGGACCTGGCCTCGTGAGCGGTGGTGACTCCCTCCCAGGCCCCCCCGGCCTCCCCCGGATTCGATGAGGTCAGGGCGGTGAGCCATCCTGGGCTGTGCAAGTGGGCGGCACGTCCCTGGGAAACACTCCGACAGACATCAAACAGTCGCCCCGGCAACCAAGGGTGAGTCAACCGCCAGGGTGGTGAACCAGGGGAGCAGCTTGGTCTGGGCCTCAGGACTGCGGGCTTCCTCTCGGGGTGGGAGGGGGGCCGCTCACTCACCTCCTCCTCCTCGAAGCCTGTGAGGTCCCAGCGGTAGTTGAGCCGCATCTGCTTCCGTTTCCAGTGCTCCATGAAGGTGGCAGCTGCAGGCGGGTGGGGGGGGGGAACCACAGAGTCAGGGGCTGGCGAGCCCCAGAACCCCGCACGCTCCTCTTCTGCACCATGTGCTAAGTGAGGGTGACAACTTGCTGGACTGAGAACATCACACAGATCAGACCCTTCAGCCCTCCACCCCCCCCCCCGATGCAGAAATGGCCACGGTCCCATCTGATGGATAAGGACACCGAGGCGCACGGAAATCTCATTCTTGCAGAGGGTACTCCTCCAGCTGGCACGGGGCCAGACAGGCCGGTCCCACAGCCCGTGCTATTAACCGTCCTGTCCTGTCAATCCTGGGGACCCCCAGGGCACAGGTGGAGGTCCTTCAGTCAGAAAGTGTGAGGGGTGGGCCCAGGCCATTCACTCAAGCTTCACATGCACACAGATACTCGCCGCTACATCCTGGTTTGTGTTCCCCACAGTTCAAATGCCGCCTCCTCCAGGAAGCCTCTGGTCATCCTCCTCAGTGTCAGAAGGGAGCTAACTCCTCTAGGAGCCTCTCCTGCTTATGGCATCTACACTGCCTTCCACCGCCACGTCCAGTGGCCCTTCTGGTTTGTGGGGCAGGGCCGGGGCCTCATTCCCTGGGACCCCAGTGCACAGCCCAGCGCCTGGCAGGGACAGGAGCTCCATCGAGAGCCCTCACTGAAGGAGGAAATGGCTGTGGGGAGCACACGGCCTGCTTGTGGAACGGCCCCAGGCTACACCCTGTACCACGAAGCTCCTCCCCAGCAGCGGCCGGGGGCAGAAGGGTGGGTGTCCTGAAGTTAGAGCCCGGGGATCTTGAGCTGTCACGTGTCAGGCACATGCAGACAAGCTGCCACACGAGTGCGAATCTCATTTCAATCTGCCAGTGACCGAGGGGTGGAGGTGGGCTCCATTCTCCCTGTTACAGAGGAGGAGACCCGCCTGGCCCGGTAAGGGGCGGCGTCACGTCGCAGAGTGACGGGGACAGACCTCCCTGTGTGTTCACCACCGTGCACCGGAAAGCAGAGTGGATGGGCTGGGTCGTGCGGGCAGTCTGTCCGTGTCCCTCCTGGGTTTCTTGGGGCGCAGGCCTGGAACTCGGTGCCAGGATCTCCCGGGGAGCATGTTAAAGTGCAGCGTCCTGGCCCCACGGACGGTGTTTGGGACAAGCTGTGTGGGTCGCCCCTGTGCACAGGCGTCTAGAAGGGCTGACCTGCCCACCCCTGTCCGTCCTTCTGTCTGTCCCTATTCATCCCCCCAGGTGCACCCTCTTCTGCCCTTTGCCTGGGCCGGGCTCCGGTTTCCCTAACTCCGACTGCCTCCTCACTGGCCATGGAACCTCTTTCCTGAGCTCCTCCCCATGAACACTGCAACCCTGACCTTGGCGTGACCTTGCAGGCTCCATGAGATGCCCTTGGCTGGGCCTTCCAGCCACCTTCTGCTCCAGCGGGGTCTTCCGAGCCTCTCAGCGGCCCCGACCCCCCGGTGACCCTGGGAGTGGGTGGGGCTCAGCCACTCGAATTCCGTCAGGGCCGGGGCCCCGGCCTCCTTAAAATGCAGCCCCGGAGAGTGGGACCAGCTCCTTGTGCACAGGCTCCCAGCAGTCCAACGCCTGCTCCTCACACGTCCCTTTTCTCAGAGTCGAGAGCAGGCACAGGTCGACTCCAGAACCGCCAGCGTGGGGCCGGATCCTGCCAGCCAGCGCCACAGGGTGGGCCCAGGCACAGAGGCCTCTAGCCTGCCCTTGTCTCCTGAGTCACCAGGCACCCTCCTCATTTACCCCTGAACACGCGTTGGCTGGTGACCCTGCCCCTGGCCTTTTGACTCCAGCAGAGCGTCACTGTCCCTCTGTCCCCACCTGGCTCAGGGCGACTCAGCCAGGCCGCCTGTCCACTCCACTCGACCCCAGGGATGGGTCTCAGTCGTGGCCCTGCCGTTCCATGGAAGCTGGGACCCCCTTTCTCTGGCCTCCAGAGGCAGGGCTCAAATCAGACAACCTCCTTTACTCTGCGACACACCGCCCAGCAGTGGAGAGACCCCTTACTATGCCGTAATCTCAGACAACAGATCCTGGAGGACAACTCAGTGGGGTCATCCTTGCTCCATGTGACACCTTATTTGAGGCTTTGAAATGTCAAAATTCCAGGAGGCAGGGAGCTGTGGTGTCTGGGGACAGAGCCACCATGGAGTGGGTGCGAGATTAACGCAGCGGGCAGCAGGCCCTCCTGCTGGGGACACAGCCTGCTCCCCTCCCGGCAGCGACTGGCTTGGGGCTGCTCCCTGGCCCTGTGTGGACAGGCGGCTGGGGGACAGAGACGGAAAGGACTCGGGTGGCCAGGACACCAGTGGGGAGATGACTGCTAGTTACCTTTGACAGCGGGAGTGAATGGCCGGGGGACAGAGGGGCCGTCCCCCCTCCCCTCCTCCCTGCGCAGGGGCTGCCGGGGAGTGCCGCACGCACACCTCAGCCCAGCAGGCTCTTCCCTGCCGCTTCCACAATAACCTCCTTTTTCCTAAAGTAAGCGCTCTGGGGAGTTATTTCTTAGCCCCGAGGGGTAACGCGTGGGCTGCACTTGCATTTGACTTTGACAGACAGCGAGTCTGTGGTCTCCCGTCTGGCGGTGGAGCGGGAGGAGGCCTGGGGCAGACAGTGAGACAGCTCTGCCTTTTCCCTCCTGGGGGCCGGGGCGCGGGGTGGGACCACTTATTTTTCTCCCAAAGATGGGACTGTTAGTAAGGGCTGGCCAGCGTCTTTGAGGGTGTGCCGTGGTACCGCCTTGCACACGGTAGGTGCTCAATAAAGAAGTGTGACATGAGCACACTGGTCGCATGGAACTGGCTGCACTAAGTTTAACACATTTAATCAAACTTCTGCTGGCTGGAGGGCAGCGTTACTGCCGGGCGACCCTCACTGCTGGCTCTGGGCGACTCTCTGCTCCCCAGGAGGGCACAGAGCTGGGCTTGGGGGAGGTCTGGGTGGGCAGGTGTGACCTTGGGCATGTCCCTTAACCTCTCTGGGCTTCTGTGTCTGCCTCAGAGAACACGCACGGAGGCCCCCGCCCCCACTGCACCTGGCGTGGACTCACTGGGATAAGCTGTCAGAGCCCCGGCCACAGCCAGGCACACACTCGGTCCCCGGCGCAGCTTCCAGAGGGGAAGGCAGGCGTAGTGGGGACAGATGAGGGAGCTAGTCCCGCATATATGTGAGGTGGCCCTGACAGGAAGGAGCCAGGCAGGCATGAAGCTGCGTGTGGCCAGAGCCAGCCAGGGCCAGCAGCGCAGGGAGCAGGAGGCGGAGTATCTGGGGGTGGGAGCAGGCTCTGGGGTTGTGTTTCACTCTGCCTTGTATTAGTGGGGTCAGTTTGGGAAAGCCCCCCCCCCGGGTGTCCACCTGCCCACCAGGGTCATGAAGATGCCACCTCTTACAGCCACTGGGGGTGGTGCTTACAGTGGGGCCCAGCACAGCGCGCAGCCCCGCTTGTGAGGCTGGTGCTCTTTCGTCAAGACAGAGTCAGGTGGTCCACAGAGGGCCCCGGACATACCCTGGAGGCTCCATCTGGGCTCTGATTTCCTGGGGTCTCGGCCGTTCTCACATTTTCAAAAAGCAAGCGCTCACTGAGCGGACCTCCCAGCCCGCACGGCATCACAGCTAGCTCCCGGCGCGGCCCGAGGGACGGCCCGGGGGGACGCAGCTGAGGTTCCCAGCCAGCCTGTGAGGGGCACTACCACTGTCTCCACTGGACAGGGGGAACCTGGGGCCCGGGGAGTAGAAGTCCCTTGCCAGAGGTCCCACAGCTGCAGGGGACAGGGTGGGGGTGACACCTGAGTCTGGCCCAGGGATGGGCACTGTCCTGTGCACGGCCAACCCAGCTGAGCCGGCCAGGGGTCTGTACTGCCTGGTGGGCCTGTGCCTGGCCGGAGGCCCTGCCAGTTTGGCAGGGCACCCAGAAGCCTCAGCTGGGCTTCCTGGGCCCAGACCAGAGAGGGGCGGGCAGCCTCTGCTCCGAAAGATGGGGGCTCGGTTCCTGGACCGAACCTCTCTGTCCTCGCCTTGGCCGCTGAGGAGTTGAGGGACCCTGGGCACCCCAGGGCCCTCCGAGGGGCACACAGAGCCCACAGGGCACTCTGAAAGGATCTACTGAGACATGCGCGTGGGGTCAGCTGAGGTCAGGGAGGAAGGCAGAGCCCCAGGCCCTCCCTGTTCTAAGCAGCTGCCCTCCTGGGCCAGCAGATCCTGCTCCCGGGAAAGGGGTCTGTTTCCAAGAGCAAAGCACCCTCCCAGGCGTTGGACGGGGCCTCCCGGCGCACACGTCTGCATGTGCAGCACAGCCGAGACCCTGGGAACGGCAGGTAAGTGGGGGTTTGTTTCCACGCCCCCCTCCCTGTCCATCCCCAGCACACACTGCCCGTGGGCCTCCCAAGAAGGAAGCGAGGGGCCCACCCGTGGGCGGGTGCTCTGCTCACCCCAGAGGGCCATGAAGATGGAGAAGAAGACGGTGGCCGGGTTGTCGAAGAGGTGGCTGGCCCGGGCTGTGGCGCAGGCCGAGCTCATCCTCCAGTAGCTGCAGGTCTTGTCGCACAGCGGGCACATGGTGATGTTGTGGGACTGGTCGCACATCTCCCTGCTGGAAGACAGGGGGCGCCGAGAGTCCCGGGCAGGGAGGAGCAGGGGCTCGGGGCCCACAAGGACAGGACGCCTCCTGGGAGGCGTGCTGGGGTGAGGGGAATTGCTGGGACCGAGCTGGGGGTGGGCGGGAGCCCCTTGGTCCCCACCACGGTGGACACAGCCATGGTCATGGCCTTGCTCTGTGCCCGGGGCCAGCCTCAGAGCCTGGCCACATGCGCCCTCACACTGGGGCCCACGCTCGGTTTCACACTGTGCTTTACCGCCTTAAAAGCCTTCGTGACTTTTGAACAGCGGTCCTGCCGCTGCTGCAGCCAGGCCTGGGTGTGACCCGCCCAGAGCTGCCGCCTGGCCAGAGAGGGGCCGGTGGGTGAGCGGTCACCTCGGAGGCGGACCCCTGGGCTGCGGCACCCACAGCCTGCGCTGGGGTCCCCTCTAGGAGAAGCTGGGGTCCGGGCCAGCTTCCCTCGAATAACCGGGTGCCGTCAAGGCTTGTGCGGTTCCCACAGTGAGGGCTGTGCCAGGCCCTGACACTGAAAGAGAAGGTGGCAAAGCTGCAAGGACGCCGCCGCACCTCCCCGAACCCCTGCCGTGTGCCGGACTCCCGGGCAGGGGCTGAGCCGCTGTGGACGGGCGGAAGAGGGGGCTCTTCGGACCCAGTGGCTCAGCTCCTCCCCACGCCCAACACTCGGGCTCTGCCCTGGTAACTCTGAAAACCCCCCACATGGAAGGCCATCGGCTGGGTGAGCAGCAGCCCGAGCCTGGCTCGGAACAGCTTCGGAAACCACTTTCCCCGCTTCACAGGTGAGGACACAGCCCAGAGAGGGTTAGTCACTTGCTCAGGGCCACACAGCAGAGCAGAAACTGGGCCCTGGTTCTGTATTCTCAAAGCCCGGGGGCCACGCAGCTGGTCTGCTGCTCAGAGGCCACAGGAGGGCTCCCTGCTGAGACCAGGAGGCTCCAGGGCCTGGGCCAGGCCCTTGAACCCCAGACTGCTCCTCCTTCTGGAAGACGAGGGGCGGGGCCAGACGAGGGCCCACCAGCTCCGGCCCACCAAGCCCTCGCCCAGGACTTGTGGACTTGGACCGGGATTGGCATCATCAAGGAACCGAGGCAGGAGCGCCCACCCCCTGGTGGTGGTGGGGCGTCACCTGGGAGAAACCTGGCCGGGGGGGGGGGGCGGCGAGGGTGTTGTTTTTTGTTTGTAATTTTGATGCCTGATTTTATGGGCAGAATCATGCCTGGCCCATGACGGTCGGTGTTTAGGGAACATCTGCTGACCGGCTCTGGGGGCCTGGTCTCCCGGCAGAGTGGCCATTCCAGCCAGGTTCTGCCCTTGTAGTTGCTTATTAAAAACTGTGCCAGTGGACGGCAGGCAAGGCTGCTGGCTCGGAGCCCCTGGGGAACCGTGTGTGCGCATGTGAGTGCACATGCAAGTGAGTGAGTGTGCAAGGAGAGGGCCGGGTGCACGTTAGCAGTGCAGCGTGGAACCAGCCAGCTCTGATTGGAATCTCAGCTCCAGCACTTGGGGTCTCTGTGCCCTCGGGCCTCAGTTTCCCCATCTGCAGCAGAGGGTGCTGAGAGCGAGGAGTGCCCAGGTTACTGCTTGTCGGGAGGAGTACATGGAACACACATGAAGCCTGGGCATCCTGCTGGCACCGGGTGCCACGCTGCCGTCACAGGGATAAAGGCACCAGGCAGCGGCAGGGCATTTGGACAGGAGGCCCAGGAGTCTCCCCGAGGGTCCATCTCTTGCCCTTCCCTGAGCTTCCTGTCTCCTGGGGGCCCGTGGGAGGGGGGCAGAAGGAACCCGTGTGTGAGGGCCCAGGGCCGCACCTCTGCCGCTGTGAGCCCCGAGACTGCCAACGACCTCCTCCCGGCCGACGTGAATGCCAGCCAGACAAAAAACCTTTTTCCTGTTGGTTTGAAACCTTCTGCCTCCCCCTGCACCACCTTCAGCCAAGATAAAGACAAGGAATATGATGGCCTGCTCTTTGGAGCCAGCGGAGGGCGGGTCAGACTCCCAGCGGGGCGACACCTCCCTCAGCTCTGAGACACCGACCGGGCGGGCGGAGGCTGCGGTCGGACGGGCCTCAGGGCTCCCCAGGAAGTGCTGCCCACCTCTCCATGTGATGGGAGGCCACGCCCGGGCAGCTGCTGGCTCTGCCCCCTGCCAGGGGAGGTGGGGAGGTGCAGTCCCCAGCAGCTACCAGGGGGACCTGAAGGCTCCCCACCTTCCGCTGGCCATATCCCTTGGGGTGCAGTCCTAACCATGCCTTTGCCACTGTCGCCTTTGCCACAGTCCCACCCAAGCACAGTGACCTCACCTCACATTAGCAAACAGAGGGACAAGCTTCCTCCCGCCTGGGCCCAAAATAGCCCTGGAGGGGACGTTAGCCAGATTCCTTTAGCGTTTGATTCTGAGTGGGCGGAATATTTTAGGTGTTATTCATGCATTAAAACACTATTTACACAGAGGTTCCCCGGGTATGACTTTTCTGCGCTGCAGGTTCCAACGAGCCAGCCTGTTTGTCAGGGGAGACTCCCGGCTCCTCACACACTAGAACGGGGGATGCCTTTCCCAAGTCAGGGCTCTGCTTTGGAGCCTCGGGCTGAGTCGTCGCAGATGGAGCCGACCTGGCGTCTCAGGACTTTTCCTGAGAGACCAGCAGCTCCTGCCGTCGGGGGGCCAGCAGGCTTCCCCCCTAAACTTGGGTTTGCCCCTGGGCACTGGGGCTCACCGCCCTCACACACAGCACACTTATCTTGGGGTCCACAGTGGCGGGTCTAGGGGACAACTAGAAAGGACAGGAGGTGTCCATGCACACCAGGACAGCATCTGGACAGAGCCTGGGCCTTCACCCTGGAGCTCCGCGCCTGTGCAAGCCCTGGGTGGCCAGCCCGAGCGTGCACTCTGTGTTCAGAAGCCTGGTCTGCGAGCCCCAGGGGTCGAGGCCGAGAGGCCCGGCTGACTGAGTCCCCCGACCCAGGCTTCCGAGTGTCACTTGTCTCACTTCCTAACATCACAAGGAGGCAGTGAATTTCCCCGTCACTTTGAGAAAAACTTCGGAGGACGAGAAGGGGCTGGGTGTCTGTGTTGTCTGCTTTCAACACAAACATGTCTCCCAGGGCAGGGTCCCTGCCCTCTGGGCCTCGGGCCAGTGCTGGTCCAGGTCTGTGAGGAACTGGGCCTGTCGGGACCAGTCCACACAGCAGGAGGTGAGTGCACTGGACTCGCTTTGAAACCATCCCCGACCACCGGTCTGTGGCAAAACTATCTTCCCCGAAAATGGTCCCTGGTGCCACAGCGGTTGGGGACCGCTGTCCAAGGGCGTTCGTGCCAGAAAAGGAGACCCACTCTTTATAGATGGCTCTGGGCCCCTTGTCCTGACCGCACGAGCTGGCCTGCCGCATCCTGTCCGGGCTGAGCTCCGTGCGGAGGCCTGACGCCCGGCATGGAGGGATGGGGTGTGCTCTGGGACAGGGCTCGCCTACCTGGGGATGTTTTCATCAACGGTGGCACATCCGTACAGGAAAACGATGACACCAACCACAGAGGCTGGGATGAGCATTTGGGTGTACACGCCCAGCCAGGCGAAGTACAGGCCGATCTTCTCCCCAAAATACTTCCTGCACCACGGGGCAAAGCCAAACAGAGACACGCGTGCTCTCAGTCTATACCTGTGGGGAGACATGTCCCATCCCCTCCCCCTGCAAGGAACAGCTCAAATCGGGGCCACTAGTTCTCTGGACCAAGAAGTGGGGAGTGGTCGGGGCTCTGAGCTGACCACCAGGTTTGTGGGTGCGCTCTGCTCTCCTACGCCCACCCCTCGCCTGTGCCCTGGAAGGTGGTTTGTGGCGCCCATGCCGGTGGGCATGAGGGACAGTCTGCGAGGCTGCCCACTCTCTTCCAAGTCCCGTTCAGCTACGAAGTGACCCTACTCCGGGAGGGGTCAGGAGAGCGCACCGCTCCGCTTACTCAGCACGTCTGGCACTGTGATGGGCTTACAGGAATTTTCACGGGCTGGGTTCTGGTCTGCATGTCCCCAGAGGACACACATTTCTTAATCTGGTCCTTCCCTGCTGCTGCCCTCGGGACAGAGGGCCCCTGCAAGGGGACACGTTCTGAGGCAGCTCTTTTCTGCCTCTCAACTCAGCAACCGGAGACTCAGCCCTGTGAGGTCGCCCAGCTGAGTCTACCCCGGCTGCACATTTAGGAGGAGCCGGCAGGCGGGAGGGAGGAGCCCATCCTCCGGTGAGTGTGAACAAACTGCTTACACCAGGGCCCCCTGGGCTTGCCGAGAGGACAGGAGTCCTCTACACAAGCCCTTCAAGTTCAAGCGGGTTCCCAGGTACTGGGCAGTCAGTGCAGTTGGAACACGCGGGGACGCTCGTCCAACTGACGCCCAGCTGGGGCCTGGCCTCCCACAGCCGTGGCCTGAGGGGCCAGGCTTGCCCCCGTCTCACCTGACCAGGTCGATGGGCTGGTACTTGTAGAAGACCCCATAGCTTGCCCACTCTTCGTACAGGAGCTGGGGAGAGAGTGAGGGGTGAGCGGCAGGCGAACACCCGCTGCCCTGGTTCCTGCCCCGGAACACGGGGCCGGTGCTCTCAGCTTGCAGCGGCTGTGTTCATGCCTTCGATGAACATTCACTGGGAGTTGGCTGAGGGCCACGTCCCGTGCCAGGTGCTGGGTTCGCCTGGCAGACACAGCCCTGAGCCCCGGGCTCCCGTTCTGGTGGGGGACAGGGATATGGAAAGACTGGGCCCCAAAGAAGCCACCCTTGGTGGGCACAGAGCTGGCACTGTAGTAGGCCAGCGAGGCGGCAGCAGCTCCCCGAGCAAGAGCACGCCTCCGTTTCTGGGCGAAGGTGGGGCTGGGAGGGGCGCCTGGCAGCTTCACGGGATCCTCACCCTTCCTGACCTGATCTGGAATCGCCTAAACTACCTGATACCATACTGCCTGGCTGTTCCCCGCAGGGTTCCCAGTTGCCCCTGTCACACAGTGAGCCGTTGCGACAAAGGACAGAACCCAATGGGCTTTGGAGCAAAGAAATACAAGTGGCAAGATTGGTATTTGGGATACAAAGAGGTTGCCGTTCATCTCCTGAGATGGGCTGCCTGATTAGCCCGCTCCGTGAAATAAATGAAGTCTACGCACACCCCACCTGCCCCCGGGGCTCTGGGCAGGGACGGTAATGAGAGCAGCGGCTGGGAAGCCTTGCACGAACACGCACAGGGTGTCCTGGGAAGGCACCGTGCTGGGGCTGCTGGTTTAAGAATGAAATCCCAGGCGCACGGGTAATCAGCGCTTTTCCTACTGTCGCTCACAGCCCAAGGTCACACGCTGGCTGGCGGGGAGGCGGGACCCACTAGGGCCTTCCCTGCCTCAGCCCCCCCTTCTCTGCTGGACAGGAAGCAGGGTTGGGGACACCCAGGAGCACTCACCAGGGTCCCCTGGTCTCTCCCGTACACCAACTGCTTGCCCTGCATCCGTTTTTCTTTTCTTAATATTTAAATAGAACAAATTTGGGGGGTGTTTCCTATGCCCAATTTAAAAAGTTTAGGGGTCTCCTACGCTTCGATTTTGCTGTGGCCCCACAAACACATGCACCACCTTCTAGTATCGCCCCAGAGCTCTGCTACCGACCCAGCGTTGGGGAGCCCACAACCCTGTTGAAGCCCCACCCCCAACATGACTCCTCCAAAGATGGGCCTGTTCAGGAGGTGATTAGGGTGACAGGGGGTCATGAAAGGGGGCTTTTGCTGTGATAGGACTGGTGGCCTCGGAGGAAGAGATACCAGAGCTCCCCTTCTCCACGCACACACAGGGCACAGGGGCCACACAGCGGGAGGTGGCCGTCGGCCAGCCAGGACGAGAGCCCTCCCGGGACCCTGCCCCGCCGGCGCCTCCATCCTGGGCTTCCCGCCCCCAGAACTGGGAGGACAAACACACGTCTCCTGTCTGCGCTCCCAGCTACAGAGCCTGGCGACAGCTAAGGCATCCTCGCCCACCGACTCTGCGTTTCTGCCCGCAAACACGTCCTCACGTGCGCCTTTGAAGGTCAAAAAGGTGGAAGAGGCTCGCTGGGCGTGGCCAGCTTCCAGGGACCAGTGGGTGAGGGGCCCTGGAAACCTCGCTCTGGCGAATGTCTCCGTCTCCTTGGGCTCCGTCTGCAGCTCAGGGGACACAGGCCCTCCCTGTGTTTCGTCAGCGGTCAGCACTCAGGCCTGCGCCCGGGGGGGAGGGAAACAGCTCAGAGGAGCGAGACGCAGTCTCCATGACTAAACGTGGGCCCGGCCGCCAGAGCCCTGTGCTTCACCCGCGATGCTCGTTGGATGAGGAGCTGCCTTCCGACCTGAAGTCCCTCAGGGGTGCCACAAACAGGATGTGTTTGGGCCTCAAGTTCGGACCCCGAGTTCTAACAGGGTGAGGGCAGGCTTGCTGCTGGTGGCAGGAGTCTCTGAGGCTTCCAGAAGGGCCTGGCATGCCCGGGCTCCCTGGCTGCGGGGAGGGCTCAGGGCCCAGCAGTTGGCGTGTCCCCTGTCCTGGGAATGGTGGCTCTGCTGAGTCTGGAGCGGCGTCCTGGGCAGGCCCCTCTGAGCCCCTCGTGGGTGGCCCCAGGCAGACCCTAACCACCGTCCTGACTCCTAATGGGAGTCCTGGGTCAGGCTGTCCCCTGCGAGACCCGGGGTGCATCCAGGGCCCTCACCCCCAAGCCCCATTGCCTCCTTGACGCTGAAGGACGCTGTCCTTCCTACGAGGCACAGAATGCAACCCGCAGGGCTCGGGCGCAGGAGAGAGCTCTGTGACCGGCACAGTGCTGGCCCTGAGAAGGGACGAGAAGCCCATGGTGCACTCTGTAAACGGGGTCGGCTCCGCCAAACCACCAGGTTCGGTGGGATCCCACGGCACCTCTGAAAAACCCAAAGGGCCCGGCTGTCCCGGCAGCTTCCTCCCTGAGACAAAAGTCGAGTGACTGACTCATACCACAGACAGGCTGGGAGGTGCATGGGACAGAGGGAGGGGGGGACAGGGAGATCCCGGGAGGGACGGAGGAGGAGGACTGAACTGGGAAGGGAAGGCAGGCGGGGAAGGAGCCATGAGAACCTCCTGCAGGCAGGACCGTGTCACGCCGGTCACCGTGTTCCCAGACCTGCTCGGGGGAACTGGGCCACCGCCCACTGACAGCCGTGACAAATGGGGGCACACCCGGCTTTCTACATAAGCCACTTCTCCTCGGCGGAATTTTCTTCCTGCCAGGGATGGACGGACCATCAATCACGTCGTTATAGCTGCCACAATTCTGAGGGTGCCTCCCAGCCTCGAGAGGGGGCTGGGACGCACCAGGGCCCCAGGTGGGCCCAGTCACAGTGACCCAGCGCCCAGCCCTCTGTGAGGTCTCGGCTCAGCCTGCCAGTGTCCCTCCGGCCCAGACCCTCACTGGGCCCCGTGCTGGGCGCTGACACCTTCCTTAACGGCTGTGCACATCCTGGCCCCTGGCCGTGTCCCCCCAGAACAGGGGCCCCAAGAAGGACAAGTTGGTCTGGACTGCTTGCTCTTCCCTGATACCTCGACCACGGCCTAGAGAAGCCGACAGGTTTCCAGTCAGGAACTGCTGGAGCGGGGGAGGGAGGGAGGGAGTTGGATTTGGGGCCGGTGGCTCAGTCCAGCCCAGGACAGACCAGCTGCCTCCACACCCAAAGGAGGCAATGGGGCGCGGAGGGGGAGCCGCACCCACCCCGCAGCGCGGGCTCTGCCTGCCTGCGCTTGTGCCCCTGCTCCTCCAGCGCGGCACAGGGCAGGCCCTTGGCCTGCACGTCCCCCTTCCTGTCCTGTCCCTGGGGTCAGGCTCCTGGGGCCCCTGCCTTGGACGGGAAGCCATGACTCGCACTGGAGCAGCGACAAACTCAGAGACGGGTCAGGTGAGGCGGAGGCTTCGTGGGAGAACGAGGAGGTCTCAAAGGTTCTGAATCAGGTCCCAGACACCTGTCTGGGGTGCCCCCCTCCCTTCCTGCCACCCGCCCACTCACCCATCTAGTACTCCCCGACCACCCCCACGGGCCAGGCCTTGTGTTCATTGCCGGGACATACAGTTAGAGAGGGGGTGGGCAGAGTTCCAGGCAGGGAGCCCCCGGGTGGGGTGACCCTGGCCCTGCATCTGCTGGCCTCACACGCAGTTCCAGGGGAAGGCACCGAATGGGGTGGTCTTGGCACTGACGTGCCCACCGGCCGAGTGGATGAGCAAGGCACCCGCTGTGGTTGGAGCGCGGGGATTGGTGCAGGGCCTGGAGTGGAGGGGCCAGGACCTGGAGGGTGGACTCAGGCCAGAGGAGGTCTCTGGGGCCACAGGGGAGCAACGAGAGGCCACGGTGGGCCAGGCTGGGCCCGTGGATGGGATGGGGGGCTCTGTAAGTCGTTAGGGTCTCAGACGAAGACCAGATGTTCCACAAAAAATAACCAAATCTGCTGACACCGAAAGCATCTCCAGCTGCGTGCCTGAGCAGACAGGTTGTGTCAAGTACCAGAGGTTTGAAACCACAGACGGGGCTGGCCGGAGGCGGCAGCGGAGAGCACGCCGGCCCCGCGACCTGGGACAAGGCCCCTTTGTGAGGACCTCCGTCTGGGAGGTGCCTCTACCCATCAGCTTGGAAGGACCCGCTCTCAGGGGTGAGAGGTGGAACGCGGGGCTGACAGGGACACAGGGCCCGGGGTGGGGGGCCGCTCCCCGAGTGGAGGGAGGTCCGAGCTTGTCTGGGGAACCCGGGGGAGTGATAGGAGGGCACCTGGGCGTGGGCGCCCGTGCGGGGTGGCGGGACAGAGCCTTCCAGAGCAGGGTGTCCAACTGGGGCCTGTAGCCCCATGCAGCCAGGGTGGCTGTGAATTCTGCCCAACACAAAATCGTGAATTTACTTAAAACATTATGATAGTTTTCTCGGGATCACGTGTTGCAATGTATTGAATGTGGGGCCCATGACAACTCCTCTTCCGGTGTGGCCCCGAGATGCCAAAGGCCGGACACCCCTGACCTAAAGTGTGGAGGGCAGGAGGAGAAATGGCTGTGGGGGGAGATGCTTACACGGGGGGTGCGGGCACAGAACTTTCTGGAAAGCCCAGGGGGGCTGGAATCAGGAACCCCCGCAGCAGAATACAAGCATCACTTGGTGTTGCCCGAGGTGCCGCCCGCAACCTCTAGCTCAGTAACTCGTCCGTGAGGAAGGTCAAGTACGTTTGGGAAGCACTGGGTGGACCGCCATCCAGCAGTTTCCCCAGGGTGCTGCTGGGGCTGGGCCTCTCCGGGCAGGTGGCCTCCAGGTCCCCAAGCTCATTGGCAAGGGGGTAGGACAGGATAGGGCTGGAGGCCGACAGCTGGAGTGACTGTCCGGGTTAAGATGGTTGAGATGCCAGATCCACGGCCTCTGGGGACACACACAGCCTTTCACACACACACACACACACACACACACGATGACCCACTGCCGCCACCGCCGCCGAGAACCAGGGGCACAAACACACTAACCGCACGGAGCTCACGCGACCGACGCTATCCCTCACAGGTGCGGGCAGACGCTGGGGACCGCAGGTGCCCCTCCCGGGGCCCCTCCTGGCTCTGCCAGAGCACCTCCTGGCCCTCCGCAGCCACTTACCTTCCTGTCATTGAACTCCACGTTCTCGCCTTCATAGTCTCCCTGTTGGGAAAGAGAAAAGGCACAGTCTCATCCAAGGGAGCTCTCGTGAGGCTGACTCCCCGTTCCTGACATTTCCAAATGAGCTCGCCAGCAGCAACACGGTTAGGACGACCCTGAGACGCCAGGGCACTCGGCACAGCAGGCGGGCCCAGCCTGCCCCCTCCAGGTGGGTCCTCTGTGCCGCCTGCCCGGGTGCCCTGCCCCACCTGCCCCAGAGGCAGAGTCCGGGAAAGGACCCCAGTTGGGTCCTTGGGACCGGCCTCGGGGTGGGAGAGTCCCACTCTGCAGGGCGTTCCCGGTGCCACGACCCCAGTGTCCTGTCCAGGACCTTTCGCTCTCAGGTGGCCCAGGAGGGGCGATAAATGACATGGTCCCTGCACACGGACATTGGTGAGCCCAAGTCTCCCATTTCACAGACAGGCAAAGTGAGGCTTGCTGACTTCACTGAGGGCAGAAGGCTGAATTTGACCCGACCTGGGACTCGGGTCCCGTCTCCAAGTCCAACGGAAGAGGAGGGTCTAAGGGTCAAGAGTGAGTCTCACGTACCAGCACTGACACCAGGGAATCAGCAGCGGCCTCAGGGGAGGGGCCAAGTGAGCGCCCAGTGGGAGTAGCCGCGAGGATCGCCGGGCAGACAAAGCTTGGAGGCCTCGGGGTCTGCCCGCTGCCCATTCCACTCACCGGCTGCTTCCACAACCCCGGCAGCCTGGCCAGCCCGCTCTGGGTAGGGAGGGCCTGACCACCAGTCCAGCAACCCAACACCCTGACCTTGGGATGGAGATGCTCCGAGGATCGTTGAGACAATTTCCTCCAGAGTCTCCAAAGAGCCTCCCGCCCCCGGCCGGCACTCTGGCCTTGCCCGGTGGTTCTGCTCTTGGCTGAGACAGCCACAGGGGTCTGGCAGCACCTCCTCTACCCAGAGGCCAGTCAGCAGGTGACTGCAGGGGGGGGTAGATGCCAACCAGGAAGGAAGCCCGAATGCTGCTGAGTGGCCAGCTGAAATGCCGAAGTCCTCCGCCTGCAGCGGACATGCCGCACACAGCCCTCCCAGCAGTCCCACTCAGAGCACACGCCTTCTTGGCAGGTGTCCTCCGGCCGGCACCGGCACCCAAACCTTGTGGACACCTGTTCTTGCTGAATGAATGGATGAGTGAATGAATGTGAATGAATGAGTGAGTGAGTGAATGAATGAGTGAGTGAGTGAAGGAATGAATGGATGAGTGCAGTTCAACCTGGGCTCAGCGGGTGGCAAGCAGTGACCTTGGACAAGGAGCCGTGAGCGACATGGGTGAGGAGAGATTCAGAGGTGGGGCTACCTGGCGTCTGCAACCAGGAGCGAGGGTGCGCCCTCGCTGTGGGCAGCATTCTCTGTGTAAGAGCACAGTGCGTGCCTGGCCCCGCTCAGGGTGACGTGTGGTCATCGGTGTCAGTACGCAAGGACATGGGTGTCCCCCGATGGCATGGAAAATTCACGGAGCTGAAATTCTGCACTCCCTCAGGACGCCCCAAGTCCATAATCTGTGTGAAAGGAACCCAGAAGTCTGGGGTCCGGGCTCCGCTCCTTGGCTGTCCACCCCAGTCACTCCTGCCTCAGTTTCCCTGTCTGTGAAGTGGGAGCAGTCGGCTTAAACTGCAGACAGGCTCGACTACTGGCCAAACGTGGTGGAGACGAGACGAGGGCCCACTTGGCCTCCAGGGACAGAAGCGAGTGCAGGGTCAGGGGCTGGCTTCTGGCCCTGGGCCCCTCCCCCCACCCAGGGGCTGTGTGACCTCAGGCAAGTTACTAAATCTTTCTGAGTCTCCAAATCAAGTAAGATAAAGCTCCTACTAAATTTGGTTCTCTGCGCACAGTAGGTGCTCAGAAAGGTTGACTTCTCCCCTTTCCCTTTCAAGACTTAAAGGCTGGCTCAAAACAACAGGGAGGCTGACACAGTTGAGGATGGTGCTGGGCAGGGCTGTGTTCCTGCAGCCCGTGGACTGAGCTGCCCAGCTGAGCACCTGGCCACAGGGCGGGTCAGTTGGGTGAGCGAGACCCCTCCTGGGCCGGCTTTGTGGGAGGAGCCAGGAGTGATGGCAGAAGCTGCTGGGCTCTAAGCCCCGCCCCTCAAACATTCATCCAGCCAAGATGAGGCAGCTGGACTTCATCCGGCCCCACATCCACAACTCGTTTATCCCGCACTCACTAGATGCCAGCAGGGGGCTTTCATGAGACGCACATGCAGTGAATGGTGGCCACTAAGTGGTGTCTTGGTGGGACAGGGCACATCAGAAGCCCAGAGGAGCAAAGGAGAGACTGAGGGTGTGGGGGACAAGGGGAGCAGGAAGGCTCGGAGTAGACATGCTGGGTACGCCTGGGGAGGGGTGAGGTGTTGGCCAGGCTGAGGGGACGGGCAGAGCGTGACAGGCAGAAGGAGCACCTGCACAAAGGCACACGGTGGGAAGGCTGGTCAGCCTCAGATCCCTGCTGTGAGTGGCAAGGGGACCAAGAGCATGTCCTCACCCTCGGCCATCTGTGGGGCCAGCACCCTCAGCTTGTCCACTGCTGCTGAAAACCCTCTCATGTGTGTGTCCACCCTGACAGCCACACGAGCCCCGGCAATGGGCAGGGTGGACACACTGAGGCTGGGGCAGAACTGGGGACTGTTTCCCCTGAGGGCTGCAGACGAGTGAGGGGCCCGGCCTGAGGTCTGGCCCCTGGCACCCCAGGCCCGCCCCCTCTCTCTCTTGCTTCTTGGACCCCAGGCTCTGCAGCAGCAGACATTTGGAAAGTTCGAGATCCTCTGTCCGGGGTTCCCACACTGCTCAGGCCCCACGGCCCGTTCCCAGCGCCCCGCTGAACTCCGGCCCCCGTTTCCGTGGCGACAACAGGAATCATCCTGCTCCCTCCACCCCAGCCAAGACAACACGGGCCTCGGCCACAGGCTATATTTGTCAGGGGCTCCCAGGGGGACTCGGAGGTCCAGCTCAGGAAGCTGGCCGCCCGCTCTGCAGAGATAGACACGCACGGAGCCCTGGCCACTCTGCCAGAACCGGGCGGGGCGGGGCGGAGAGACCGAGGCAGGGGGACGTGTCGTGGACCAGCCGGCCGCAAGGTTCAGACAAAGCCAGGCCAGTCTCTGCCACAGATGTTTCTGGTGGCACTGGTCCACAAGAACAGAGGGTCCCGTCACTTCTTGGCCCCCACTTGGGGGAACAGAGAAGGCCTGTGCGCCTGACATTTAAAGAAGGGCCCAAGCAGGAAGCCCAGACCGCAGGATAATTAGAGCTCCCAGGGGCGTGTCCCATAGGGATTTGGGGAGTCAGGTGACGCCAGAGAGACTGCATGTCAAGGTCACTTACGTCGTGCAGGGGGTAGGCCGCCGAGTAAACGCCATTGGCCAGCAGGCTGGTGATGCCTTAAAAACAAAGGCAGAGAGAGGATTATGGATCGAACAGGTGTCCCGCCGCTGGGTGTCCCGTCAGAGACTCCGGGGACTGTCTCGGCCACCGGGGACTTTCTCAACTCGAGCCACCGCCACCTGGCTGCACAGCGCCCCGCCACCTGCCGCGGGGCTTCCTCCCCGGGTCCGACTAGATGACAAAAACATGCTCTATTGGCAGAATTAGGGAGGGACAGAGGAAACACCATGAGGAAGTTACGTGGAGGAGGGAGGGGGAACCCCAAACCTGCAATTCACCGACTACCCCGCCTGCTGGAAGGCAAGCCTGCAGACCGGAAAGATGGGTTTTAAGTGGTTAGAAAAGCTGGATCATGAGGGAAATATGGACGGGCAAATGGACGGCGTCAGAAACACACATACAATTTGGAATTAGGTTTTAGGTTTGATTGGAAAAGCCAGAGAGGAGGCCTGCAAGCCCCCGCGCGGGGGCGGAGGCACTTACCGTACTGACCACATTTTCGCCTTTTACTTAGAAGGGCAGAGTCCTTCTTTCTTCCCTCTCCTTGCCCTGTTTACACACCGACTATTAGTTACATGCAAAAGGGCCTGGGAGGGTCAGCTCAGAGGTACGTTTGGGGGAGAAGGAGCCCTGCGGGCCGGTGCTCCTGTTTGTCTATTTGCTGGCCCCAGGCCCTGCTCCGCCGCTCAGGAACAATTACTGCACCTGGCCCTCCTGGACTCCGGCTCTGGGAGGCGCCAGGGAGATGGGAGGGCAGAGCCTGGCTGTGCCGGGGGGTGGGGGAGTGGGGGACAGGGGCGCCTGGCACTCCGGCTCTTTGCACGCTTCTGTGGGATCCTGCACTCCTGAGAGGTATCCATGAAGTCCCTTGCTGGTCACAGAGCCATCTGCCTGGCCCAAGGGGCTTTGTAGGTGCTAGATGGGTCAGATTTTTCAGTGGTCCAACTAGCCTCCCTCTGACTTAAAGCTGACCGTGTCCTCCATGAGTGATCTGAGATGGTCAGGGCGCCCAAGGGACGTTTAGGAGTCGGGACCAGGGAGAGGAGGGAGCTCTTGCGTAAAAGCCCTTGAGTTCATCTCAGTAAGGCAGGGACCTGGAGTCTGGTCCAGGACACGGGCCTCGTCCCTCGCCCTCACTGCCCGCAGGCCTGGGCCTTCGCCAGCATGCCCTGCCCCCACCCTCCCACCCAGGCAAGGCCCGGAGACCTGCCGGTCTGGTTGATCATGCCTATTCTCTCCCCCAGAACACAGAGCCCTGGAGGCAGGGCGCACCTGGGACCCGGCAGGGACAGACTCCTCACTTGCTGAACCGGTGACTTGGAGCCCAGCAGGGCTGCCGGAAGTGATAAGGGGGTACAAAGGAACCCCCAGTTCTTCTGCCCGGACATCGGGGGCTGGGAGCTAGCTCAGAGGGCCCACCCCAGGGAGCACCCCGGTGGGCGCCCGGGGCCCGTACTCTCTTAGCAACCGTGTGAACTTCCCCAGGGAGAGTCCCTAAGGGAGACCGAGCTCGGGGGGGGGGGGTTGGAACCACGGTCCTCCCCCGACTGGGGTGCCGGGCCATTCTGGGGGCTCTTGTTCTATGGAAGCCTGGCTGGGCCTGTGGGGAGGGCTCTCCTGGGTTCCTCCGGGCCCGGGAATAAGGCCCCAGTCCCTTTAACTTAGGACACGGGCTTAGAAATTTCAGGCCCAGAAGGGTGTCCCTGAGGCTGGGGGACCTGAGTCAGCTGGGGGACCAGGTTCACCCTCTCCGCTCGCCCTGCAACCTGGGCCTGGCCCGGGCCATCACCAGCCAAACATTTCACTCTTCTCCTGCCCCTGCCCCGGCCCTCCACGGTTCCTCCTGGGAAGCAGGTGAGCCCAAACTCTCGCTCCCGGATGCACAGACTCTGCTCCTACACAACCTGCCCAGCGGCCCGAGCCACTGCCTCGGACCTCAGGAGCTCGTCCGGTGTGACCCTCTGCGCTGCCCGCACAGCTCTCGGCGGGCTCGGCGCAGCTTGAGAAGGGCAGGCGGCTCTAAAATGCCGCTGGTTGTCAGCTGGGCCTGCAGCTGTGTGTGGGGGGTGCCCCTCCCCGAGCTTTAATCAGTAAGGTGTCCTATCTGTGGCCTGGGGTGTTCTGTGTGCTGGCCCCAGGAGCCCAGCTGGGGTGGTTCTGTGGCAGATTCTAGAATCAGGCACCCGTTGAAGGGAGCGCCTTCCAGCAAGGCCAGGTGTGGGTTTGCGTGGGCCCGGTGGGTGCCTTCCACCTTCGGCCAACTTTGAACCTGTCTGGCTGCCCGTGGCCTGGGGTGCAGCTTGGGGCCAACTGCCCTGCTGGACCCCTAACTACGTCCTGCTGGGCTGTGAGGGTCAAGTGAGGGTTAAGACGCCTGGTCAGCCCACAGCAGCCAGGATTACCTCCGGAGGGGGAGGCCGCGGACTCCACCAGAAACGCCGGGGGCCAGAGTCAGACCTGGGTGCCGAGGAGTGGCTGCACGGCCATAAAACTGCCCCTCGGGCCCAGGCCCGGGACGGGTCTCCTTTTGGAAACAGTCACCCAGGCTTAAATCAAACCCTCTGAAGACGCCCAAGCCGGCCGGCCACCCCCCACGGAGACGATGCCCAGGCGAGATTACCGGCAGGAGCCGGCGCTGATGTCAAGCCCCGGGAATGTCCTTACCCATGCTGTACTTGGCTTTGGTGCAAGTCGTCCTTTTCAGAATTTCGTAGACCTGGTGCGGGGACGAGAGGAGGGTGGGCGGTTACTCCAGCTGCAGGGGCGTGTGGGAACGGCTGTGTGGTCGCCGAGAAGGGACGGGGCCCAGACGGCCACCCGTGGCGACCTCCTCCCTTCTCCAGGGGCTGCCGCCCGCCCTTCTGAGGATGTTCCGTGGACAGTGTCGGACTGGTGTGCTTGGGGATGAGCAAAGTGCTGCAAAGGAGCCCCATCCCTCACTTCCCTTCGCAAAGCACCGACTCCCTGCCATGCTGTCCCCTGCGCCCTGCTGTCCGGTCACTGTCCCTTTAGCTGAGAGCTGGGCTGGAATTCAGAGGCATGAGGATCCAGCCCATAGGACTACTCCTGGTGTAGCCACGAATGTTCCAGAAGCCGGGTGGGCAGGTCTCAGGATGCCACTGGACCCAGTCAGGATGCAGCAGAGCAGGGGGTGCCCTGCAGAAGCCGCCCCGAAGGTCCCGCCGCACCCTGGCTCGTGAGACGTTTACTAACAGAATGCTTCACTTGGAGGCCTCAGGAGCCCCTGCCTGAGTCTAGGTCTAGGCCCTACCAGTGGCTGGCTGTTGGGCAAACTACCTCACCACTGCGTGCCTCAGTTTCCCCAGGTGCAAAATGGGATGAGAACGATGGGTCCTACGGCACAGACGTGCGGGGCAGAGAGCACCAGTCGCCCTCCCAACCCTCCTCCATCCCACTCCCTCCGGGCAAGGCCAACAGCAACGCTCCAGCGGCCCCTCCGCCTGCCCATCGGGCCTCCTCTTCCCATCCTGTCCGTCCCAGTGAGTCCGGCCTCCCGGCCGCTCCTCTCACCCACTGCACCCTGACCCACAGCCCCAGGGCCGCCACCCTGGCTGTTTCTCCTGCCACAAGCGCTCGCCCTGAGATCTAGATTAGAGGGACCTTAACCACAGGCCACAGAGCACCAGCCATTCCTGACACTCTGCCTTCTCACCGCTGTCTTGTCCCGGAGTGCATTTCGCCGCCGGCCCTGTGGCCCTCCCCCTGCCTCCCAGTCCTGGGGCGGGCGCTTGCTCACTGTCTAGTGAACAAATAAACGAACGAATGAATGAAGGCCCAGTCAGTGGGCTCCCTCCCTTCACCCCCTAATCTAGTCAGTGGCCTCTTCCTGACCGAGTGGATTCTGCTGTAAACGCCTCCTCCCATCCATAAGCCCTCACAGTCCCCGTTCATAGCCACCGCTGAGACTGTGCAGCCACTTTCCATCTGCCCTCCCACGGCAGCCACGGGCGGCAATCTTGGACAAATCGACCTCATCTTAAACCGTGCTCCACAACCTTCTGTGGCTCCCTTGGGCCCAAAGGCTAATGGTCCAAGGCCCAAGGCCAACACAGCGGCTCCTTCCCTGCTGTTCCCAACTCCTACCCGCCTACCACGACCTCATTCCAACTCCAGATACAGTTGGCACTCAAAGACCACAGAGCCAGGCTGACCAAGGGCAACATTTTGAATCACCGAGGAGTTCCTCTGGAGCGTGGGCAGCTTTCAAACTGACCTTCGAGGTCTCTGGGAGAGAGTGACCCCACCCCAGAGGTCACTGGAGTGGTGGATGGTTCATTTAACACTAACCCCTGTCAGCATGGCTTCCCCGGCCTTGGGGACCAGGGATGGAACTCAGTTCTACAGAGATCCGCAATGAGATGGGAATGAGGGCTTCTGATTCACACGTCCCCCCACCCCCACCCCTGCCCGGCCCCACCACGGCCGCCTCCCCGACAGAGAGAGTGAAAGCACAAATCTGCACCTGCCCTGTGCCCCGGGGCATTTTGACAGCCCCAGATAATGTACAAAGTCGGGGTGCACGTGCGTATTGAAACACAGGTGCGTGACTCAGTTTACCAGGCTGCTGTAGGAAGGGAAACCGTCCAGCTTAAAGCTGGAGGGTCTTCCCAAACAGTGGGCGCCCCAGGGTGGGGGCTTCCCTCTGTGGACACACGGCAGCCCGAGCCACACTGGTGGCTGGTGTTTTTAACGACAAGATTTAACGGCTGAAACTGACCAGTGACGCAGTGTTCTAAATAGATCAGGACACCAAAAGTCACAGCGGTGGCTCTGTCCCCACACTGGGGGCCAGTGCCCCTCAGAGGGGGCTCCCTCGGCCCTTGGAGCAGGAAGCCGGCGCGGACCTGGCTCCCTTGTGGCCTCAGTGACTCCCGGAGCCACGAGTCTGGGAGGGAGAGGAGGGTGGATGGGACTGGATCTGCAGCCACCTAGCCCCTGACGCCAACGTGGCCTGCAGCACTGTCTGTCGCCCGGCCACCTTCCAGTTTCAGGGTGTGTGGGGTAGCTCTCTGGTCAAGGTCAAGCCCTGCCCCTCCCCCCCGCCTGGCTGGGCTCTCTGGGCAGGGAGGAGCGGCAGAGTGGCCAGGCTCAGCGGTGCTTGGCTGAGAGGCTCAAGTCCTGTTTAGATAAAGGTCGGGTCCCAAGTCACACAGCCCAGCTTGGCTGGCGGACTGGTTGGCGGCCTAAGGAGAAACACTCACCCAATACCTTGAACAGGGCAGGGTGGCCTGGTCAGATCTCAAACCTCAGTGCGCGCATCTGGCAGAGAGTCCGCTCTCCACCCCAACCAGCAGTGCGGTGCCACCACCGCCCGTCACTCCTGCCTGGCCTGCCGGCTGGGCGACCTCTGGGCCTGGCGCCGGGTGACCGCCAGGAACTGCCATTCCACTAAGGGGGGTGGCCAGGGGCCAGCGGGAAGCCACGCAGGGAACTGGGGCGAAGACCAGACTCACAGAGGGGTCTGGAGTCCTGGAATCCCCCTCCCCTCTCTCCTGCTGGTCCCCCCCCAACACTAACTGCTGGGCTGGGCGGTCCCTCGGGCCCCCAGCAGCCCTCTCGGTTCTATTATTCTAATTATTTCTGTCGCAGACAATTAAAGCCTCTTCCACCTGGGGAGTTTTTCCGAAATGAAATTACGGTCGCTTTTCCTCGGGCCACCTCGCTGGCCAGCCAGCGACTCCCCGATGCCCGCAGCTGGAAGATACTCACTATTGTGCTTCGGGTTTTGCTGTCGAAAAAGGAATCCTTGTCAGACAGGTCAAATCTGCAGGAAAGGGAAGGAGAAGAGACGCAGGTCACTGGGGTCGGCTTGCCTGCGCTCGGAGACCTTGCGAGCCGCATGCGCTGTCCCTGGAGCGGTGGCCGGGAAACTGGCACAGCTGTCCGCAGCCCAGGTGTGACCGGACCCAGGGCATTTGACACAGTCAGTCCCCCAGCCCCTCATAGCACCCCCACAAAATCCTCCAGGAGGCTGGGAGACCCCCAGGGATGGCGATCTCCCCGAGGGGACCCTGCTTGGTTTTGAGGACACCCTCTGTGTGCTGGCTGCGGTCTCTGCTGGAGCTCTGCTGGGGGCGGGGATGGCATTGTTTCACTGTGATGCTCAGTATTTAAGATCACCTCCCTGCACCTTCCGGGTGGCTTTGGTCCTGGGGTCTTGGAGACCACCTGGAGATTGCCTAATGCTCTGAAGGCATGGAGCCGTCTGTGGCATAGGTGAGCCACTCCCCAAGCAACAGCTGGGAGGGTGTGGGGGGCTCCCTCCCCTCGGAGCCTGGAGGTGAGCCTGGGCTGGCCAGGCAGGGGGTGCCAGGGAGAAGCAGGGCAGGGGGTCCTAGGAGGAGGGGTCCCCCTCTTGTGCCCCGGAGCTCTGTCCCGAATCTGGCAGGAGTTGGACTGGGAGTCCTTCTTCAAAGAGAGGAGTTCTCTCTTTGTTCTTGTTTCTTATCCCCGGGAGTGCGGCCCTGTGACTAATACATATGCCAGGTGGAGGCCCAGGTCTCCATGCCCCATGAGGACAGGGGTGACCCGGAGGCCTCATGCTTCGATAGCTGGCCACCAAAGCCCCACCGTGTTCCCGAGCCCCCTCTCATGCTCTGCCCAGCGAGGTCTCATGGAGGCCCGGTGGCTACACCCGGAGGGAGCGGAGGGGGTGGGATTTCCAGAACAGGTGCTGCACTGCCAGGCAACCCCGCTGGCTGGGGCTGCGGAGTCCCCGGGGCCTGGGGCCTCCAGCTGGGGCTGCTTTCCAGTTTCTGCCTCCCAGAGAGACTCACAGAACCTCCTCGGCCGGCACACCCTCTCCTTGGCCACGTCCGGAGAGGGACCAAGCGGGTGGAGGGAAGGGTGCCCAGACCGCTGCTTTGGGGCTGAGGTCCAAGGCCCACAGGCCCTACTTGTGACCTCGCGAGTATTCCTAAGTGTCACCAGGCAGAGTGACAAGACTCTTTGCCCCCTGATTCCTCAGTTAGCAGTGACCTTAAAAGGCGTTGCCCAGGGTCTCCCTGTGCTGCAGGCCCCAAGCTCTTCTGAGGACAGGCTCTGAGGGCGGAGATGCGCCTCCTGGAGGCCATGGTCCCACAACCCGTGTCTGCCCCATCCTGTGCCGTGGCAGGGGAGGGGCCGGGGTCCCCACTTACAGGTGCTGCTTCTCCCTGGAGAAGGGGTAGGACAGCCTCTTCACCGTCTGCGGTCTGTGCTCCGCCACCCGGGGCTGGATGGGGGCCGTGATTTTCTGGAGCACGGAGTTGATCTTTTTCAGGAGGCCCCGGGCCTCGTTCATGTGATACAGCTGCAGACAGACCAGGGGGCGGGGGGACCCGCGTCATTGGCTGAGCCGTGACCCTCGTCTCAGCGGGTCCCAGAGCGGTCCCACCCTCTGGAGATGGCCCAGCCCGAGAACGCATGCCGGGACCCACTCCTCAGCACGCCCGGGTTCCAGACAAACCCGGAAAGCCTGAGGTTCCAGGGGAGGTCTGCCGAGAGAGCGATGATGACAGGGTGCAGAAAACCTCCCCCGAAGAAGTGACCCAAGGACCCCCGTGGATTTGGGGTGCCAGGGCAACTCGGTCCTGGTGCGCTTCCCCTCCTCTGTCCTCACCCGGGAAACCCCGACACCCAGCTAAGCTTCAGGAGCTCCCCCCCGCCGTTGGAGCTGCACAGGGGCTGAAGCCTCAGCGTTTTGAGATGAATGAAAAAACGCCCAGCCAGCTGGGAGGTGCAACCACAATGATTCTCATGGACCAGCTGAGAGACCGTGCACCCGAGACACCAGAGCGGACGGTGAACCATGTTCGAATCACACACAGCACGGCCCGAGGCGCCCGCCTGTGCCAGCTCCGGGGCTTGGGCTGAGGTCTCTGCAGGGACGAGAGGCCACTGGCTTCCCTAGGGACGCAGAGCCTCCTGCCGCGCAGCCCTGACCCGGAGACCAGACGCAGGGCAGACGCGTCCCACCAACCTTCTTGGTCGGCATCTTCAGCTTCAGAAACTCCGCCTCTCTGCACAGCACGTTCCAGGGTGCGTGGATCTTCACAAATCCAACCCCGTGGATTTTCGTCTGGGAGAGGAGAGGAGGCCTGAGTCAGCCAGGATGGACATGGCCGGACACCATTCTTACAGTTGCAGGCAACTGCAGTTGTCGGGAGCTGCCACACCGAGCGGCTTCCTCCTGTCCCCTCACTGGCCCCTTTGCACAGTGCTCCCAGTCCCCTCTTTGCAGGTGGCACAAGAGAGCGCGGTGGAGAAGTCTCATGGAATGACTGAAGGAGGGCCAGGAGGGCCTGGAGGGAGGTCCCGGACCCCAAACACCTGGAAGAGTTTCAGGGGGCTGAGCCAAGGACCCCCAGAGCAGTGGCCACAGAGGAAGCCCTTGGAGAGCACAGAGCCCTCTGGCCCCCACCCATATGGACTCAGAGCCCTCTCTGCCTGGAGCAGGGACGAGGAGGTGGCGGGGAGGATGGCTCCTCTGGGCACCTCCCCTCCCTGGGGTCAGGCCACACCTCTCTCTGCACGTGGCCTGGCCTGTCCTTCTGAGCGTGAGCAGCCTGGTGCAGGGCCCGAGTTCAAGGCTGCTCCCCAACTGAACTGCTGTGAGCTGGGACAAGCCCCTTCTCCTGGGGCAGTGTGTCTGAGTGACAGGGATGACCAGAGCTGCCCAGCCAGGGGCTGGGAAAGGCCCCACCATGCATGGCCCCCTTCACAGATGGGAGCACTGAGGCTTGGGGAGAGCGCATCGCGGCCTGGGCTCCTCCGAGCATGAGAACGAGGAGGACCACGCGAGCCGGCAGCCCCACTGCCGGGAACGCGCGAGAAGGATGAGAATCTGGACCATGAAGATGTACCCGCACCGCCATGTCCACAGCAGCGCTACTCATAGCAGCCAAGAGGTGCAAGCCACCCAAGTGCCCACCGACAGATGAGCGGATGATAAAGTCTGGTCCATGCACACGACGGGGTACTTCATAAAAGAAGGAGGAGCTGCCCTCTGTGACAAGGTGGGTGGGCCTGGGGGACATGATGCCTCAGTGAGATAAGCCAGAGAGCGAAAGGCAAATCCTGTACGATCCCACTTATACGTGAAATCTCAAAAAGCAAAACAAAACGAAGGCCGATTTCCTGGGAACAGAACGGGGGTGGAGGGGGAGAGGTGGGAGCGGGGGGGGGGGGGGGTAGAAACATCTGAAGGTCAGTTACGAGAAGGTTAAGGTCTGAGGACCTAACCGGCAGCAGGGTGACTGGAGTTACTGTGCAGCATGCGTACTTGACTGTGGTCGAAAGCCACACACGCGTGTGCACACAGGCGGCCTGTGCACACGGGCGCACGCACAGCGACACTGTGGGAGGCAATGCACACACTGATCACCTGGATCCCAGAAATTACCCCACGACGTGTGTGTGTCGAACTGCCAGGCCGTGTACTTTAAATGCACACAAATCTGTGTCTAGATGGCCCCCCGGTCAGGCTGGCGGGTGGGGCCAGCGTCGTGCGGGCAGCAGACGCGGGCGCCCCTGTTCCCGGCAGGCCGTGCAGCCCGGATGCCCTCCGCACCTCCGCTCTTCCTTTTCCCTCTGTCCCCCCATGAACTGCATGTTCAGGTGCGCAGCGTCAGCCCAGCGACGACACGCTTTCTCATTGAAGGCGCCCGGAGCACACACGGACCCCCAGCTGCCACCGGAGAAGACCGGGGTATGCACAGCACAGGTGTCCTCCCAACGAACCGCAGGGAACCACGAGGCTCCCCTGGGCCCGAGCCGGGTCTGTGGAGCCCACCGGTGCCTGGGCCCCCGGCTGGCAGGAGAGGTCAGGCCGTGAGGGCGCTGAGCCCCGTGAGTGCCCTGAGCACGGAGGTGACCTGGCAGTCCACATGCGGCGGAGACTGTCCTCTCCGCTGCCGACCAGGGTTATTTCTGTGCACTGCTCGTCCGCCCGCACGCAGAGACCCAAAATACACCCCGCCGGCCGGCGGAGATTTCTCTGGAGGGTGGTCGGGAGCTGGCGCTGTGGCCGGCCTCCCTGGGAAAACACTTGCCTCTGTTTACGTGAGCCACAGGGTCCCTCCCAGGGAGACCGCGGGTGGACTGGGAAAGGGGTCATGGGACCAGCTCACAGGCGCACTCACAGGCGTTCGGAAACGTGGTGCCCGGCTGCAGCCTGCCCCTGACTCCGGGTGACGCCGTGAGACCCGGAAGGGTGGGGGGCCATTTTCCCACAGCTGGAGGCCCCAGAGGAGGGAGGTCGTCGGTCACGACTCAGGCCCCTCAAGCTGGGGAGTTTAGAGGCCACTGACTGGCCACGGCCAGAGCCGCGGTTGTATGGGGCTCTGTAAGGGGACAGGGTCAGGGCTCGGACAGGGCCACCAACCAGATGGGGTAGGAGGGGGACAGGGTGCTCCCCTCGGCACAGCACTCTCCAAGCACAGACCAAGCACGTGCAAACCTGCATTTGAGCCCCGTCGAGGAGACTGGCCTGACCCAAAAGGCCTCGGGCATTTTCCTTTCTGGAAGCAGGACTTGTCCGTGGCCCTTTTGTGGTGGTCGAGGACACCCAGCAGTCCCCTCTGCATTCCCCGGACCTTCTAAGTCACTGGCGGGACTGCATGTTCCTGGACCCATCGGAGGCCACCTACCATGGCAAAGTGCGGCTCAGAAATTGCTGGAAGGTTCAAATCAATAAGGGCAGAGCCAGACCCTTTCTGGGGGCCCTTGGAGGCCCGGGGCACCAGGCAGGACTGCCTCCTCACTCCCATCCTGGCCCCGCAGGCTGCCTTGCACCCCAAGTGTGACTTTTGTTGTAGGTGCAAAGTCCTGAACTCAGGGAATCAGGAGCCCCCCAGGGTTCTCCCCCCCCCACTGACCCCGGGTGTGACTGCCCTGGGTTAGGGTCAGGTGGGAGCCTGGGGGCGTGTGCGGTGCACTCAGCAGGGACGAAAAGGCCCTGCCGAGGCAGGAGCAGGGGCAGCCCCGGGGTCTTGTCCCCGGGGCCCTGACCAGGCTGGGGGCAAACTGCCTCTCTCGCTGTCCTCAGCTTCCTTAGTTCCCATGGAGACATGGCCACCGCCTCAGGGGTCAGGAGGCCGGAGGAGGGGGCACAGGCCTCCTCTGGACCCAGCACTTGGAACCCCCGGACCACCTGCCCGGAAGGTTCACATTCCCTACAACAAATAGGTTTTCAAGTTCCAGAATGCTCAGTGCCTTGTCCCCACTGGTCCCTCAGGACCAGGTAGGTTGTCGGTGACATTGGCATCTAGACACTGACACTGTCTTCTCCCTGACCTTGTGGCGGGCATCCTGAGCCCACTTCAACATCAAGACAAGGCACAGGGAAGGCCCGCAGTTCCCCCCTCCCTGGGGGGCTCAGAAACGCCCGCGCCACTCTGCCCCCAGATGGCTTCCGGGGTGGGTGACAGGAGATGGTCCCAGCCGGGGGCCGGGGTCTGTATGGAGAGGCCGCCCGCTGGCCTGGTCTACGCTGCCGAGGCGAACCAGCTCCCCACCGCCCAGGCACTGGCACACCAGGCATTGCCACGGCGTCATGGCACCCTCTCAGCTTGTCCCAAGAGAAACTGGGAACTGACAGCCACTGACTCTGCAGGGGCCCAGAATGGGAGCAGGGACCGTCTGGGGCAGCTTCACCCCCCTGCCCTGGGCCCGTGGTCTGGCCCCTGAGGCCTGGCTGGTTCAAAGAATAAACGGTAGGCAAATCAGCAGTCACTACTCCCTCACGGCCCTGCTCTGGGACAGGCCGGTCAGTTACCCAGATCCACCTCCCACGGCAAACGATAAAACATGCTGGGCCGAATAAAATACATAAATGTAACCAGTGTCGTGGCCTTGATGTCACTGAAGGGCTGAGAAGACAGAGGGCTGCCACACCCCGAGGACGGACCCAAGGGCAACTGGTGACACAGCTGTCCAGCGTGGGGGAGGGGACGGAGGGTTCAGGCCCAGGCCCACGAAAGGTGGGGCGTCTAACAGGAGACCCCACGGAGCTGGGCCCGACGCGATGATACTTTCCGGTGACCCAGGGGATTGTAAGGAGGACAGTGGTCCTGGTGTGAGCAGACCAGAAAGGAAGGTAGAAGAGGGGGTGACAGCCACCCACGAGCCTTAACCCCCAAAAGCCATGGCCCCACTATATCCAGAACCTCGGCTCGAGGTGGTTCTGTCTGGAATGCCCTCAGCGTGGGGTGACTACATGCCCGAGTCTTTCTGATCACGGGCACCTTCCTCCCGGGCTTTGGGGACGTCCCTCGGGTTTTGTGAGGGTGGTGACCAGTGGACAGGAGAGCCAGGGCCACCCGGAGCCGGGAGACGGCCTTGGGTTCTGGAAGTGTTAGGTGGGTGATGAATAGAAAGGCTCTATGAAGGGCGGGAAACCAGGACAGCACACAGCCAACTTGCAAATGCACCTGACAGAACTTCCAGAAATAAAGTGTCACCACAGACAGGAATGACAAACCCAACAGGCGCGTTTGAAAATACTCAGCCCCCCCCCCCCACAAGGCCAGGGAGACAGGAGGGGTGGAGTGGGGGGTGGGGTCACCTTCTTCTCCAGAGAGGAGAAACCAACCCCGGCCCGGGTCCCCAGTTGCTGCGTCTGCCCATTTCTGTGGTGTAAACAGTCTGGTGGCCAAGTGCAAGCCACCAGAGGGGGAACAGTCAGCTGGCAGAACAACTGCCACCAGAGTGGCCCAGATTTCGTCGCAGCTCAGTGGGGACCTGAGTGGAGCAGCACAGCCATCTCTGAGGGGCTTTGAAGACTTGGCTTTAAAAAGAACGTCCAGAGTTCACTCTAAGAGAAACGTGTTCCCACAAACCAAGACTAGCCCAGAGGAAGTCAGGTGGGTGTGGAAAAGCCTCAGCAGAAGACTCAAAAGACAAAAAACCTTCAGTGCCAAAGAAATGAATGTGTAATGGTGGAATTAGCAGTGGTGAACTGACAGCTTCAGGCCTGGACTAGCCGCCCCTAACATCCCACTGTGGGAAAGGCCCACCAGGGAGGCTCGGAGCCTGGCAATGCGGGGGGAGCACGAGGGGGCAGCTGGAGACCGCTCGGTT